GCACAGACAGAGGCACAGACAGAGGCACAGACAGAGGCACAGACAGCTCCTTAAGTATCTCCACTCATCCATCCACTGCCTGGAAAGCCCAGCTCCCTGTGCCAGCTGGCCATTAGCTACCACCGTCAATTAAAACCTGGATTCAACTACTATTTGAATTATTTTTCAAATACTCTTAGCGTTATCTCTAACCTGACTGAAGTACCAGATGGGCACTTTTGCAACTATTCTGTTGGTCCCATTGCGCCAAGCAAGCTCAATCAAACCCAGCTAAAGAATTTGAGATGATTTCAAATAGTATTTGAACCCAGGTCTCCCATCCATCCCCACCTAACTCACAAACCAGACTCCTCAGCCTCAGCCAGGACAGTCAGAGTTTGGCTAAGGGTGTGTAAGGTGTGTGTACATGTGTGTGTGTGTAAGGTGTGTGTCCGTGTGTGTGTGTTTGGCTAAGGGTGTGTAAGGTGTGTGTGTGTGTGTAAGGTGTGTGTACGTGTGTGTGTGTATGTGTGTGTATGTTTGGCTAAGGGTGTGTAAGGTGTTTGTACGTGTGTGTGTGTATTTGGCTAAGGGTGTGTAAGGTGTGTGTGTGTGTGTGTGTGTGTGTGTGTGTGTGTGTGTGTGTGTGTGTGTTTGGCTAAGGGTGTGTAAGGTGTGTGTGTGTGTGTTTGGCTAAGGGTGTGTAAGGTGTGTGTGTGTGTGTGTGTGTGTGTGTGTGTGTGTGTGTGTGTGTGTGTGTGTGTGTGTGTGTGTGTGTGTGTGTGTGTGTGTGTGTAAGGTGTGTGTCCGTGTGTGTGTGTGTGTGTGTGTGTGTGTGTGTGTGTGGTGTGTGTGTTTGGCTAAGGGTGTGTGTGTGTGTGTGTGTGTGTGTGTGTGTGTGTGTGTGTGTGTGTGTGTGTGTGTGTGTGGTGTGTGTGTGTGTGTGTGTGTGTGTGTCTAAGCCAGCTACAGGACAGGGCTGTGACAGTCTATTTATATTTAGCCCTTTGTATTAAAAGTAGAGTACAACTCTTAAATAAATAAAGCAGTTATTTGTTCCTAAATAAAGCAGTTATTTGTTCCTAAATAAAGCAGTTATTTGTTCCTAAATAAATCAGTTATTTGTTCCTAAATGAAGCAGTTTTTTGTTCCTAAATGAAGCAGTTATTTGTTCCTAAATAAAGCAGTTATTTGTTCCTAAATGAAGCAGTTATTTGTTCCTAAATGAAGCAGTTATTTCTTCCTAAATAAAGCAGTTATTTGTTCCTAAATGAAGCAGTTATTTGTTCCTAAATAAAGCAGTTCTTTGTTCCTAAATAAAGCAGTTATGAAATGATGACTCCATCCCAGTTAAACTCATGATGCATCTGGTCATGGACTTCTGGTGAATGAACAAAGACACTCCAATGTGGTCTAGCCGAGCCAGGGGCAGTTCCCTGAATTATTCCATCAAATGGATTTTGACTATAAGTTCAGTTGGCTTGAATAGGTAACTATGGTAGTCCATTGAACAGACAGTAGAAGGCCAGCGCCAATGCTAACGTTGGGTGGAGGCTCTCAATGTAAAGTCTGTTGTTGTGACACACGAAAGTGAGATTTGGTTCTGGGTGTTGAAATTACTCTCTTAGAAGTTAATTCCCCTAATTAAGGGGACTTTGAGCAGTTCTGGACCAGTTCCGACCAACATTTTGGTGTACAAAATACTCTATGAACGTCACATGGTCCAGTGCCTTTTAGTGCCAGAAAGCCCCATCTGTCTGCTTGGTGTCAGATTTCACACTCCACATTTGCATAGGGAGTGACGTGTCACATTTTCTGGCCAACCCAGACAAAAAATTGATTTCCTCTGCCTGTGAGCGACGGAGCCTGGGAGACGGCATATTAAAGGGGACAGTCTAGTGAATCCAGCAACGGCGGTTTCATCTCGCTGTGGTATTCTCAGCCAGATTTAGAGCTCTCAACCTGAAAAAAATACTAAATCCTTTAGTAGAATTGAAACACGACCACCTTCTCTTATAGTAAGCTATTTATAATTTCATTGTTGCTATATTTAGAAAGCATTTGACATTTCAAGCCCTGTACCCCCCACTTTGTTGAATAGGAAAACATTTGGTGGGTTGTCTCGCTACAATAAAAGTCTGAACACTACCATACCCACACTGTTTGCATTGTCAGGCCATTGATTTTAATGTAAGCTACAACTTTTTGTCTATGTCCATTGTTTCTGGATATGAAATACAGACCAGACTATTATGGAAATGTCACTTAATCTATAGCGGAATCCCTTGGCGTGGTGTCACTGTTACCTCTTTCACTCATCTGTGTAAACATGTAAATAAATAAATAAATAAATCTATCCCCAGTTAGACCTCTGACCTTCAGCGAAAAAAGGAACTAAAATTGCCATGTTTAATGTAAACAGAAAATAAAAATAAGCAGAAGAAAGATGCTGAGAATAAATATGAAAACAGAATACTACTTCCTCTTCTGAATACTAGTTGACCGCAATGCAACCACTAACATTTAGAATAATGAGAGAGAGAGAGAGAGAGAGATGATCAGTTCAGTTAATCTTTTCAGAACCGTTTTAGAATGCTTGGCAGACTCCTACAGGTGCTACCTGCCATCGTGGTATGTAGCCATCCATGGTGAGACTGGAAATGTAGCATGCCTATAATAAGAAATGATTAAACTATTCAAATGTGCTATATTGCTCAATGGTACGTTTCCTGTCTGAAACCTAGCAGGTCACAGATCATAGCATTGATCAGAATGAGGAAGTTCTATTCATACACATTCTAAATAAGATCTGATTAATATTTTTAGTCCTTTCATATCGCTACCAGTGTATAGAGGGTAGGAGTTAATTTGGGATTGGACAAATTAGGTATACAGTGAGGGAAAAAGTATTTGATCCCCTGCTGATTTTGTATGTTTGCCCACTGACAAAGAAATGATCAGTCTAATTTTAATGGTAGGTTTATTTTAACAGTGAGAGACAGAATAACAACAAAAAAATACAGAAATACGCATGTCAAAAATGTTATAAATTGATTTGCATTTTAATGAGGGAAATAAGTATTTGACCCCTCTGCAAAACATGACTTAGTACTTGGTGGCAAAACCCTTGTTGGCAATCACAGAGGTCAGACGTTTCTTGTAGTTGGCCACCAGGTTTGCACACATCTCAGGAGGGATTTTGTCACATTCCACTTAAGCATCAGTTGTCAGAGCACCTTACCGATCACTGCACCTGTACACAGCCCATCTGAAATTAGCCCACCCAACTACCTCATCCCTATATTGTTATTTATTTTGCACCCCAGTATCTCTATTTGCACATAATCTCTTGCACATCTAGCATTCCAGTGTTAATACTAATTGTAATTATTTTGCACTATAGCCTATTTATTGCCTTACCTCCATAACTTGCCACATTTGCACACACTGTATATATATTTTCCGTTGTATTTTTTGACTTTATGTTTATTTACCCCATATGTAACTCTGTGTTGTTGTTTTTATCGCACTGCTTTGCTTTATCTTGGCCAGGTCGCAGTTGTAAATGAGAACTTGTTCTCAACTGGCTTACCTGGTTAAATAAAGGTGAAATAAAAAAAGAAAAAAAGATCTTCTCCAAGTCATTAAGGTTTCGAGGCTGACGTTTGGCAACTCGAACCTTCAGCTCCCTCCACAGGTTTTCTATGGGATTAAGGTCTGGAGACTGGCTAGGCCACTCCAGGACCTTAATGTGCTGCTTCTTGAGCCACTCCTTTGTTGCCTTGGCCGTGTGTTTTGGGTCATTGTCATGCTGGAATACCCATCCACGTCCCATTTTCAATGCCCTGGCTGAGGGAAGGAGTTTCTCACCCAAGATTTGACGGTACATGGCCCCGTCCATCGTCCCTTTGATGCGGTGAAGTTGTCCTGTCCCCTTAGCAGAAAAACAGCCCCAAAGCATAATGTTTCCACCTCCATGTTTGACAGTGGGGATGGTGTTCTTGGTGTCATAGGCAGCATTCCTCCTCCTCCAAACACGGCGAGTTGAGTTGATGCCAAAGAGCTCGATTTTGGTCTCATCTGACCACAACACTTTCACCCAGTTCTCCTCTGAATCATTTAGATGTTCATTGGCAAACTTCAGACGGGCATGTATATGTGCTTTCTTGAGCAGGGGGACCTTGCAGGCGCTGCAGGATTTCAGTCCTTCACGGCGTAGTGTGTTACCAATTGTTTTATTGGTGACTATGGTCCCAGCTGCCTTGAGATCATTGACAAGATCCTCCCGTGTAGTTCTGGGCTGATTCCTCACCGTTCTCATGATCATTGCAACTCCACGAGGTGAGATCTTGCATGGAGCCCCAGGCCGAGGGAGATTGACAGTTATTTTGTGTTTCTTCCATTTGCGAATAATCACACCAACTGTTGTCACCTTCTCACCAAGCTGCTTGGCGATGGTCTTGTAGCCCATTCCAGCCTTGTGTAGATCTACAATCTTGTCCCTGACATCCTTGGAGAGCTGTTTGGTCTTGGCCATGGTGGAGAGTTTGGAATCTGATTGATTGATTGCTTCTGTGGACAGGTGTCTTTTATACAGGTAACAAGCTGAGATTAGGAGCACTCCCTTTAAGAGTGTGCTCCTAATCTCAGCTCGTTACCTGTATAAAAGACACCTGGGAGCCAGAAATCGTTCTGATTGAGAGGGAGTCAAATACTTATTTCCCTCATTAAAATGCAAATCAATTTATAAAATTTCTGACATGCGTTTTTCTGGATTTTTTTGTTGTTATTCTGTCTCTCACTGTTCAAATAAACCTACCTTTAAAATTATAGACTGATCATTTCTTTGTCAGTGGGCAAACATACAAAATCAGCAGGGGATCAAATACTTTTTTTCCCTCACTGTATATCTGAAGGAGGGGTTACTGTGCGTTACCTGGGAACACCTTTAGGGCGCTGAGGGGAGGAGTTACCTGGGGAGGGGTTAGCTTGGAAGGGGAGGGGAGGTGTTAGTTACCTGGGAACACCTTGAGGGGCTGGTTATTCTCCAGACTGAGGACCAGGGGGCAGTCTGTAACCTGGGTTAGGGGGTAGAAGGTTAGGACTTAGAGGTTACCTGGGAACACCTTGAGGGGCTGGTTGTTCTCCATACTGAGGACCAGGGGGCAGGCTGTAACCTGGGTTAGGGGGTTGAAGGACTTAGAGGTTACCTGGGAACACCTTGAGGGGCTTGTTATTCTCCAGACTGAGGACCAGGGTGCTGGCTGTGATGCTGAAGATCTGGCGGGGGGCAAAGTTCACCCCGTCGTTCACCTGGAAGGTGAACCCTCCCGACATGGCACCTTTAGAGGGAACAACACAATCACCTCTGGTTACCTTCTGCCCCAAGACAAAGTCCTTCAGGGGGTGTAGTTATCAAGTGTCTTAGAGTAGGAGTGTTGATCTAGGATCCGTTTTGCCTTTCAGATCATAATGAAATCAGATTATATGGACAGGGAGGACCTGATCCTAGACCAGCACTCTTACTCTGAGATGCTCTGTGAGCAGGGGCCCAGATCAGCTTCCTCCACCTTCTGTCCTCCTGTCCTGAGGGCTATCCTATAAAGCAAGCTAGATCTACTCAGGGTTTTCTAAAGCTAGCCAGCTTCAGTTAGCTTCACATTCCAGCTCAGGATTAATCCGTACTACGACGGTGGATATTGCTCGTCCACCTGCCGCTAACTCCAGCAGGCTCGTAACTGCGTGTGCACGTCGCACGTGGCTAGCCGAACAACCGAACTCTTCGTTGAGACAACGCTGAAACATCGATCCATGGGCGAGTCAATGCCACATTTTCATTTTTGTGCCAAAATCAAAATGAAAGAAGTTATCTTGCAAATTCAGCAGGCTGTGGCGTGAAACAGACTTTTAGAAGTGCTGTCTTTAGGCGGACTCCCGAGTGGCGCAGCGGTCTAAGGCACTGCATCGCAGCGCTAGAGGCATCACTACAGACCCGGGTTCGATCCCAGGCTGCGACTGGGAGACCCATGAGGTGGCGCACAATTGACCCAGTGTCGTCCGGGTTAGGGGAGGGTTTGGCCGGCCGGGATGTCCTTGTGATTCCGGTGGCGGGCCTGGCGCATGAACGCTGACTTCGGTCGCAGTTGTACGGTGTTTCCTCCGACACATTGGTGCGGCTGGCTTCTGGGTTAAGCGAGCAGTGTGTCAAGAAGCAGTGCGGCTTGGCAGGGCTGTGGCTCTCGACCTTCGCCTCTCCCGAGTCCGTAGGGGAGTTGCAGCGATGGGACAAGACTGTAACTACCAGTTGGATATCAGTAAAAAAAAAGAAGTGCTGTCTATTACTTTGGTATGCTTATCAAACCAGTCCTATGATAAAATAATTGTTATCATTTAGCAGACGCTCTTATCCAGAACGACTTACAAATTGGTACATTCAACTTATGATAGCCAGTGGGGGGGGGGTGAGAAGGATGCAATCTTTGTGAGAGGGAGGGAATCTGATTTCATTGGTCCTCGACTTGCGGCCCAGACACTTCATTCAGGATAGATGTTGTTAGCCCTGAGTTAGCCTGCCCCGGAGCAGGTTCGTTCTGAAGGATTCATTGCCATAGAAATTTGCCTTGCTAAAAGGTGAGCCACATTCGTGGTACCAGTTATCCCAAGTTGAACAGAGTTGACCAAAGTTACCTCGCTAACTCCTCAAACTACATCCGTAGTATAGGGCTCAGGTCTTACCACTGTGGACGAACAGCAGCTGTCCCAGATGGATGTGTTTCAGGGTGCAGTTCAGGAGCGGCCTGGCGGGGGCGCTCTTCAGCGCCAGGTGGCCATTGCTGGGCGGAGTCACGGTCACCTGCAGCTCCTCAGGGGGCGTGTCCTCATCCTGGGCATCCAAATCCTCAGGGCGGATCTCTGTCACCGACCCCTCCCACACCTGAGGGGACAACCAATTAAATCAATCCCCCACTTAAGGAGGCAACCAATCAAATCAATCACATTTCAAAGGCCTTTAAAAAAAATACATATTTTGTATTGTTCGATTCTAATATACATCACAATCCCACATTGTTTAAAAGCATTCTTTACAACAACTTTTGTCACATAGGGCTTTACTGTAACCCGGCCAAGACCCAACTGTTATCGGAAGCAAGTGAAGCCTGCTTAGTGCGCATAAGTGGTATTTCAAACAGAACTAACAGCAGTAATAATCATTGCAGTGAACTCTGACCTGTGGCTTGGCTTTTCATGTCCTGACTAAGCTTGTCTTTAACACATGCTTGCGCGCGCACACACACTTTTCAATTATCACCTGACTTGAAATGAACAGGCTGTGACACCCAACATCTAGTCACTACAGGAGAGGTCAACATCTAGTCACCACAGGAGAGGTCAACATCTAGTCACTACAGGAGAGGTCAACATCTAGTCACCACAGGAGAGGTCAACATCTAGTCACCACAGGCGAGGTCAACATCTAGTCACCACAGGAGAGGCCAACATCTAGTCACCACAGGAGAGGTCAACATCTAGTCACCACAGGGGAGGTCAGACCTCAAAGGACCTGTGTGTGAGTGTGGGTGCATTAGGTGTGTTTGTGTGTGTGTGTGTGTGTGTCTGTATCCACAGGAAGTACACCTCTAATGTGAGGCTTCAAAGGAAATCACAGAGGGAGAAAACAGCAACAATCATCATACAATCATCATACAAGCTGCTGCTACTCTGTTTATCTTATATCCTGTTGCCTAGTCACCTTACCCATATACAGTGGGGAAAAAAAGTATTTAGTCAGCCACCAATTGTGCAAGTTCTCCCACTTAAAAAGATGAGAGAGGCCTGTAATTTTCATCATAGGTACACGTCAACTATGACAGACAAAATGAGAGAAAAAAATCCAGAAAATCACATTGTAGGATTTTTAATGAATTTATTTGCAAATTATGGTGGAAAATAAGTATTTGGTCAATAACAAAAGTTTCTCAATACTTTGTTATATACCCTTTGTTGGCAATGACACAGGTCAAACGTTTTCTGTAAGTCTTCACAAGGTTTTAACACACTGTTGCTGGTATTTTGGCCCATTCCTCCATGCAGATCTCCTCTAGAGCAGTGATGTTTTGGGGCTGTCGCTGGGCAACACAGACTTTCAACTCCCTCCAAAGATTTTCTATGGGGTTGAGATCTGGAGACTGGCTAGGCCACTCCAGGACCTTGAAATGCTTCTTACGAAGCCACTCCTTCGTTGCCCGGGCGGTGTGTTTGGGATCATTGTCATGCTGAAAGACCCAGCCACGTTTCATCTTCAATGCCCTTGCTGATGGAAGGAGGTTTTCACTCAAAATCTCACGATACATGGGGCCATTCATTCTTTCCTTTACACGGATCAGTCGTCCTGGTCCCTTTGCAGAAAAACAGCCCCAAAGCATGATGTTTTCACCCCCATGCTTCACAGTAGGTATGGTGTTCTTTGGATGCAACTCAGCATTCTTTGTCCTCCAAACACGACGAGTTGAGTTTTTACCAAAAAGTTCTATTTTGGTTTCATCTGACCATATGACATTTTCCCAATCCTCTTCTGGATGCACTCTAGCAAACTTCAGACGGGCCTGGACATGTACTGGCTTAAGCAGGGGGACACGTCTAGCACTGCAGGATTTGAGTCCCTGGCGGCGTAATGTGTTACTGATGGTAGGCTTTATTACTTTGGTCCCAGCTCTCTGCAGGTCATTCACTAGGTCCCCCCGTGTGGTTCTGGGATTTTTGCTCACCATTCTTGTGATCATTTTGACCCCACAGGGTGAGATCTTGCATGGAGCCCCAGATTGAGGGAGATTATCAGTGGTCTTGTATGTCTTCCATTTCCTAATAATTGCTCCCACAGTTGATTTCTTCAAACCAAGCTGCTTACCTATTGCAGATTCAGTCTTCCCAGCCTGGTGCAGGTCTACAATTTTGTTTCTGGTGTCCTTTGACAGCTCTTTGGTCTTGGCCATAGTGGAGTTTGGAGTGTGACTGTTTGAGGTTGTGGACAGGTGTCTTTTATACTGATAACAAGTTCAAACAGGTGCCATTAATACAGGTAACGAGTGGAGGACAGAGGACCCTCTTAAAGAAGAAGTTACAGGTCTGTGAGAGCCAGAAATCTTGCTTCTTTGTAGGTGACCAAATACTTATTTTCCACCATAATTTGCAAATAAATTCATAAAAAATCCTACAATGTGATTTTCTGGATTTTTTTTCCTCAATTTGTCTGTCATAGTTGACGTGTACCTATGATGAAAATTACAGGCCTCTCTCATCTTTTTAAGTGGGAGAACTTGCACAATTGGTGGCTGACTAAATACTTTTTTTCCCCACTGTACATATATGGGCTTTGACTAGGCCATTCCGGTCCTGGAGAGCCGAAACACTTCTGTTTTTTATTTCTACCTGGTAGTTAATTGCACTCACCTGGTGTCCCAGGTCTGAATTAGCCCCTGATTAGAAGGAGAGGATGAAAAACAGAGGTGTTTCGGCCCTCCAGGACCGGAATTGAAGAACCCTGGTGTAGAACAATAGCATGAGTAAAGTGGTTACAGAGAGCCACCTTGTGGACTCATTGAACCCAATACCAGCTACTGTATCTATCCCCATTACTAGAAAGACATGGGTCTCTGTGTCTACCAGAGGGTTATCTACCAGAGGGTTATCTACCAGAGGGTTATCTACCAGAGGGTTATCTACCAGAGGGTTATCTACCAAGAGGGTTATCTACCAGAGGGGTGTCTACCAGAGGGTTATCTACCAGAGGGTTATCTACCAGAGGGTTATCTACCAGAGGGTTATCTACCAAGAGGGTTATCTACCAGAGGGTTATCTACCAGAGGGTTATCTACCAGAGGGTTGTCTACCAGAAGGGTTGTCTACCAGAAGGGTATCCTACGAAAGAGATTTGAGGACTTAGCAAGGTAACTTTGGTCAACTCTGAGTTCAACTTGGGATAACCGGTCATACGAAAGCCAAGTAAATTTCTATGGCAATGAATCCTTCAGAACTAACCTACTCTGGGGCAGGCTAACTCACAGCTAACTCCACCAGAGGAGGCTGGTGGGAGGAAATTATCAGAGGATGGGCTCATTGTAATGGCTGGAATGGAAAAAATGGAATGGTCTCAAACACAACAAACATATGGAAACCACGTTTGACTCAGTTCCATTAATTCCATTCCAGCCATTACAACGAGCCCGTCCTCCTATAGCTCCTCCCACCAGCCTCCACTGAACTCCACTTACCCTGAATGAAATGACTGAGCCACGAGTTGAGGACCAATGAAATCAGATTCCCTCCCTCTCGCAAAGATTGTGTCATCACCCCCTTCATTTGAGGAAGACGACTGATTAAACATTTTATTAACTAAATGTTTTTTTTGTGTGTTAAAAAATAGTAATATTAAAATATATCACATTAGATATTTAGTAATGACAGAATGCATTTTAAACTTCACGCACTGTGACACTTTTGTATGACTTAATATATATATATATTTAGTAATGACTTAATATAATTTTATCGATAGGAGTGGGGAAAAGGTGCCATAGCAACACCAGTGTTCTAAAAATCTATTTCTCACCACAGCCTTCTGCAAGATAACTTATTTCATTTTGATTTTGGCACAAATTTAAAATGTGGCGTTGACTCGCCCGTGGATCGATGTTTCAGCGTTGTCTCAACGAAGAGTTCGGTTGTTCGGCTAGCCACGTGCGACGTGCACGCGCAGTTACGAGCCTGCTAGAGTTAGCAGCAGGTGGACGAGCAATATCCACCGTCGTAGTACGGATGAATCCTGAGCTGGAATGTGAAGCTAACTGAAGCTGGCTAGCTTTAGAAAACCCTGAGTAGATCTAGCTTGCTTATAGGATAGCCCTCAGGACAGGAGGACAGAAGGTGGAGGAAGCTGATCTGGGCCCCTGCTCACAGAGCATCTCAGAGTAAGAGTGCTGGTCTATGATCAGGTCCTCCCTGTCCATATAATCTGATTTCATTATGATCTGAAAGGCAAAACGGATCCTAGATCAACACTCCTACTGATCTAGGATCAGCTTCCTCCACCTTCTGACCTCCTGTCAGATCCTCCCTGTCCCTCTGATCACTGATCTAACTTACTCTAAATTTAAAAGTGTAAACATGTAGATGTATCAACACTACGTCCAAGCATTCATAACACTACAATACATATATGGACATTTATTTCAAAGGGAGTAAGCCCTTTATCAGATGCTTATCATAAGATGCAGTATATAACATACATAGATGTACACTATGTCATGCACCAGCTTCCTCTTGAAATCCTCTTTAAACCAATGTTATGAGATGTTTGACGGTTGATCTATATTGCTTTATGATTTATGCTTGAACCTTGACTCGAATATAAACCTGACTAAAATTCAGATAGATACGTTTATGGTTTGAACCATGACTCGAATATAAACCTTACTAAAATTCAGATAGATACGTTTATGGTTTGAACCATGACTCAAATATAAACCTGACTAAAATTCAGATAGATACGTTTATGGTTTGAACCTTGACTCGAATATAAACCGGACTAGAATTCAGATAGATACGTTTATGGTTTGAACCATGACTCGAATATAAACCTGACTAAAATTCAGATAGATACGTTTATGGTTTGAACCATGACTTGAATATAAACCGGACTAGAATTCACTGATATGTGTATAAGCGTGAAGGTTATGGTCAAATGGGCTGCGTTCCAAACGGAACCCTATTCCCTATGCAGTGTACTACTTTTGGTCAGGGCCCATATACAGCAGCTGTGAGAAGAGATTAGGGCCCATAGGGCTCTGATCAAAAGTAGTGCACTATATATGGAATAGGGTGCAATCTGAGACAGCCATGGTATGTGGAAGGAAGGAGAGGCCCCTCTTTCAATTAGAGGGTCTGAACCAAGAGAAGAGCTGAGAGGAATGTGTGGCGTTCAGGACAAAGCACTAATGAGAACAAAAAGCTGTACTTCCTGGTACTTCAGTCACTTTGAACAGCTGGACTTCAGTCTAACTACACGTTAGTCTACAACCACACAGCCACACACAGACACACACAGACACAGCCACACACACACACACAGACACAGCCACACACACACACACAGACACAGCCACACACACACACACACACACACACACACACACACAGACACACACAGACACACAAACAGACACACGCACAGACACAGACACACAGACACACACAGACACACACAGACACACACACAGACAAACACAGACACACACACAGACACACACAGACACACACACAGACACACACACACACACAGACACACACACAGACACACAGACACAGACACACACAGACACACACACAGACACACACACACACACACACAGACACAGGCACACACACACACAGACACACACACAGACACGTCTACAGCCACTCAACACTCAACTGAGCGTGTCAAATCATATACTGTAACTAGCTAGCAGATGGACAGGCGACTATACTGCCAGACGCCATCTTGCATTCTCTTTATAGTGCACTACCTTTGACCAGGGAGATCAGGGCCAATAGGGCTCTGGTTAAATGTAGTGCACTATATAGTTAATAGCCAGGGTGTAATTTGGGACGCAGACCCAAATATTACAGGTTTTTTACTGTCAGTGCCACCAGTCGTATATAACAGGACCTGTACTACCACCAGTCCTATATAACAGGACCTGTACTACCACCAGTCCTATATAACAGGACCTGTACTACCACCAGTCGTATATAACAGGACCTGTACTACCACCAGTCGTATATAACAGGACCTGTACTACCACCAGTCGTATATAACAGGACCTGTACTACCACCAGTCGTATATAACAGGACCTGTACTACCACCAGTCCTATATAACAGGACCTGTACTACCACCAGTCGTATATAACAGGACCTGTACTACCACCAGTCGTATATAACAGGACCTGTACTACCACCAGTCGTATATAACAGGACCTGTACTACCACCAGTCGTATATAACAGGACCTGTACTACCACCAGTCGTATATAACAGGACCTGTACTACCACCAGTCGTATATAACAGGACCTGTACTACCACCAGTCGTATATAACAGGACCTGTACTACCACCAGTCGTATATAACAGGACCTGTACTACCACCAGTCGTATATAACAGGACCTGTACTACCACCAGTCGTATATAACAGGACCTGTACTACCACCAGTCGTATATAACAGGACCTGTACTACCACCAGTCGTATATAACAGGACCTGTACTACCACCAGTCGTATATAACAGGACCTGTACTACCACCAGTCGTATATAACAGGACCTGTACTACCACCAGTCCTATATAACAGGACCTGTACTACCACCAGTCGTATATAACAGGACCTGTACTACCACCAGTCGTATATAACAGGACCTGTACTACCACCAGTCGTATATAACAGGACCTGTACTACCACCAGTCGTATATAACAGGACCTGTACTACCACCAGTCGTATATAACAGGACCTGTACTACCACCAGTCGTATATAACAGGACCTGTACTACCACCAGTCGTATATAACAGGACCTGTACTACCACCAGTCGTATATAACAGGACCTGTACTACCACCAGTCGCAGTGGTCTAAGGCACTGCATCGCAGTGCTAACTGTGCCACTAGAGATCCTGGTTCGAATCCAGGCTCTGTCGCAGCCGGCCGCGACCGGGAGACTCATGGGCGGCGCACAATTGGCCCAGCGTCGTCCAGGGTAGGGGAGGGAATGGCCGGCAGGGATGTAGCTCAGTTGATAGAGCATGGCGTTTGCAACGCCAGGGTTGTGGGTTTGATTCCCACGGGGGGCCAGTATAAAAAAATATATATATGTATTCACTAACTGTAAGTCGCTCTGGATAAGAGCGTCTGCTAAATGACTAAAATGTAAATGTAAATGTAAATATAACAGGACCTGTACTACCACCAGTCGTATATAACAGGACCTGTACTACCACCAGTCGTATATAACAGGACCTGTACTACCACCAGTCGTATATAACAGGACCTGTACTACCACCAGTCCTATATAACAGGACCTGTACTACCACCAGTCGTATATAACAGGACCTGTACTACCACCAGTCGTATATAACAGGACCTGTACTACCACCAGTCGTATATAACAGGACCTGTACTACCACCAGTCGTATATAACAGGACCTGTACTACCACTAGTCCAGTCACACAGGTCCTACATGACTAGTTTTATAAGATGTATTGAAGCAGGCTAGTAATCTACAATTATCTGGGTAATTTTCATTCCAACTGCACTCTCTTCAGGAAGTTAAACTCCCTTAAGGAAACGGGGGGGGGGGGGGGGCAGCATGCCCCAATCCACATAGACGGGGCTGCAGTGGAGCGGGTCAAAAGGTTCAAGTCCCTCTGGGTCCAAATCACTAAGGACTTAAAATAGTCCACACGCACATGCACAATCTCTTCCCCCTCAGGAGGTTGAAAAAGTTTGGCATGGGCCCTCAAATCCTCAAAAAGTTCTACAGCTGCACCATTGAGAGCATGTTGACTGGCTGCATCACCGCCTGGTATGGCAACAGCACCGCCCTCCATCACATGGCGCTACAGAGGGCGGTGCGGACAACCCAGTACATCACTAGGACCGAGCTCCCTACCATCCAGGACCTCTATATCAGGCTGTGTGAAAGGAAGGCCCGAAAAATCATTAAAGACACCAACCACCCAAGCCATAGACTGTTCTCTCTGCTTCCACATGGCAAGCGGTACCGAAGCATCAAGTCTGACACCAACAGGCTCCTGAACAGCTTCTATCCCCCAAGACTCCCGAGTGGCGCAGTGGTCTAAGGCACTGCATAGCAGTGCTAGCTGTGCCACTAGAGATCCTGGTTCGTATCCAGGCTCTGTCATAGCCGGCCGCGACCGGGAGACCCATGGGGCGGCGCACAATTGGCCTAGTGTCGTCCAGGGTAGGGGAGGGAATGGCCGGCAGGGATGTAGCTCAGTCGGTAGAGCATGGCGTTTGCAACGCCAGGGTTGTGGGTTTGATTCCCACGGGGGGCCAGTATGAAAAAATATATGTATGCACTCACTAACTGTAAGTCGCTCTGGATAAGAGTGTCTGCTAAATGACTAAAATGTAAGACATAAGACTGCTAAATCGCTAACAGAATAGCTACATGGACTATCTGAGTTGACCCTTGTGTTTATTTTTATTTTTTGCACGGGACTCTACACACTCACGCACACTCCAACACACACACAACATGCAGACACATTCATACTGACTACACACACATGTTCACATACAATCATCATATACGCTGCTGCTAGTCTGTTTTTGGTTCCGCTGGTGTACAGCAATCTTTAAGTCATACCACAGATGCTCAATTGGATTGAGGTCTGGGCTTTGACTAGGCCATTCCAAGACATTAAAATGTTTCCCCTTAAACCACTCGAGTGTTGTTTTAGCATTATGCTTAAGGTCATTGTCCTGCTGGAAGGTGAACCTCCATCCCAGTCTCAAATCTCTAGAAGACTGAAACAGGTTTCCCTCAAGAATTTCCCTGTATTTAGCGCCAGCCATCATTCCTTCAATTCTGACAAGTGTCCCAGTCCCTACCGATGAAAAACATCCCCACAGTATGATGCTGCCACCACCATGCTTCACTGTGGGGATGGTGTTCTCGGGGTGATGAGAGGTGTTGGGTTATTACCAGACATAACATTTTCCTTGATGGCCAAAAAGCTCAATTTTAGTCTCATCTGACCAGAGTACCTTCTTCCATATGTTTGGTGGAGTCTCCCACATGCCTTTTGACCAACACCAAACGTGTTTGCGTATTTTTTTCTTTAAGCAATGGCTTTTTTCTGGCCACTCTTCCGGTAAAGCCCAGCTCTGTGGAGTGTACGGTTTAAAGTGGTCCTATGGACAGATACTCCAATCTCCGCTGTGGAGCTTTGCAGCTCCTTCAGGGTTATCTTTGGTCTCTTTGTTGCCTCTCTGATTAATGCCCTCCTTGCCTGGTCCGTGAGTTTTGGTGGGCGGCCCTCTCTTGGCAGGTTTGTTGTGGTGCCATTTCTTTACAATTTTTAATAATGGATTTAATGGTGCTCAGTGGGATGTTCAAAGTTTCTGATATTTTTTTATAACCCAACCCTGATCTGTACTTCTCCACAACTTTGTCCCTGACTTGTTTGGAGAGCTCCTTGGTCTTCATGGTGCCGCTTGCTTGGTGGTGCCCTTTGCTTAGTGGTGTTTCAGACCCTGGAGCCTTTCAGAACAGGTGTATATATACTGAGATCATGTGACAGATCATGTGAAGCTTAGATTGCACACAGGTGGGCTTTATTTAACTAATTATGTGACTTCTGAAGGTAATTGGTTGCACCAGATCTTATTTAGGGGCTTCATAGCAAAGGGGGTGAATACATATGCATGCACCACTTTTCCGTTATTTATTTCTTTAGAATTTTTTGAAACAAGTTATTTTTTTCATTTCACTCCCCCAGCCCTTCTGGCTTCCCCAGCACAGCTAGCCTTCCCCAGCCCAGCTAGCCTCCCCCAGCCCAGCTAGCCTCCCCCAGCCCAGCTAGCCTCCCCCAGCCCAGCTAGCCTCCCCCAGCCCAGCTAGCCTCCCCCAGCCCAGCTAGCCTCCCCCAGCCCAGCTAGCCTCCCCCAGCCCAGCTAGCCTCCCCTGAAAACCCTGTCGGCAGTGATGACTGGAGGACTCACCCTGAGAACCCTGTCGGCAGTGATGACTGGAGGACTCACCCTGAGAACCCTGTTGGTCAGTGATGACTGGAGGACTCACCCTGAGAACCCTGTTGGTCAGTGATGACTGGAGGACTCACCCTGAGAACCCTGTTGGTCAGTGATGACTGGAGGACTCACCCTGAGAACCCTGTCGGCAGTGATGACTGGAGGACTCACCCTGAGAACCCTGTTGGTCAGTGATGACTGGAGGACTCACCCTGAGAACCCTGTCGGCAGTGATGACTGGAGGACTCACCCTGAGAACCCTGTTGGTCAGTGATGACTGGAGGACTCACCCTGAGAACCCTGTTGGTCAGTGATGACTGGAGGACTCACCATGAGAACCCTGTCGGCAGTGATGACTGGAGGACTCACCCTGAGGACCCTGTTGGTCAGTGATGACTGGAGGACTCACCATGAGAACCCTGTTGGTCAGTGATGACTGGAGGACTCACCATGAGAACCCTGTCGGCAGTGATGACTGGAGGACTCACCCTGAGAACCCTGTTGGCAGTGATGACTGGAGGCTGGTCGTTGACAGCTGTGACCTGGATGTACACGGTGCAGGGAGAGCTCTGTTTCCTCAGGCCTGTGTCGTTGGCCACCACAGTGAAGTTGTCTTCTAACGTCTCACTGCTGTCATGGATGTAGTAGATTAGCCCCTGCTCCACCTAGAGGGGTCATAGGGCGAGAAAGTTAAGAGCCTAAAAATAAACAATTAGATTCATTTAAGAAATGCTTATGTATGGGTTATGAAGTCCTTATGTTAGGTGCATAGTAGATTAAGGCATACAGGTATAATTAATTATGAAGCATTCATACAGCATTGTAAGGCGTGTTACAAGTGTCTATAAACTGCTTATAAAGTGTTATCATCATCAATAATTAGCTTGATTACTCCACCTGAGAAACTAAACCAATGAAACACTGAGGATCCTGTGGTGCTAATATATGATCCGTTTTTAGATTGTGTAGGCTATATATTCTTCTCTGATGTTAGTCCCCTGTAGCTCAGTTGGTAGAGCATGGCGTTTGAACAATCCGCAAAAACAATCAAAATATGAACAATCGTTGGAGAACATATTTTCCTGCCTGATGAAGAAAGACTGCATGACAGAGAGAGAGATAGTGTCTTCTGTTACCTGGCGTCTGGTGAAAGACCGTACAGGAACCCCGGGGTAATGTGAGTGTTCAATGTGGCCATTCTGCGGGGGCTCAGACAAGCTATACAGGAAGTTGAGGCCAGAGAAGTGTCGGTTGGTGACCCTGAGCACTTCCTGGGTCAAAGCCTTGGACCCGCCCTCTCTGAGGGTGAAGTTCAACACCTGTAGTAGTAGAATAGCGTTTATTGGTAGCTCGCAGTCATAGACTGAATTGTAAGCCTTTCATTGCACCGTTCACACTGAATCCTGTGCATATGATAAATAAACTTTGATTTGATTTGTACACCACTTTACAAACATACATTGTCATCGCACAATACAAAACCTATGATAGCAAAATAATTCCACAATACAAAACCTATGATAGCAAAATAATTCCACAATACAAAACCTAAAATGCAATAATTCTAAAATGACAATACCTGTAGAGGGATGAGGCGGGCGATGATGTCCACGGACATCCTGATACTGTTGACCTCCGTGACCCCGTTGGAGACATCCAATAGGAAGGTGTCATTGACCTAAACAGGAAGAAAGGAGAGACATTTTACATTGACCTTTTAGTCATTTAACAGACACTCTTTTCCAGAGCAACTTACAATCAGTGCAACAAAGGTAGGTAAAACAACCACATATCACAGTCATTGAAAGTAAAACCTTTTTCCAAAAAAACCCTATCTGCAAAATCAGTGCTGAAAAGACAAGTGTGAGTGTGAGAAAGATGAGTATAGTGGTTTGGGGATGGTCCAGGGGATAGCTTGGGGATGGTCCAGGGGATAGCTTGGTGATGGTCCAGGGGATAGCTTGGGGATGGTCCAGGGGATAGCTTGGGGATGGTCCAGGGGATAGCTTGGGGATGGTCCAGGGGATAGCTTGGGGATGGTCCAGGGGATAGCTTGGGGATGGTCCAGGAGATAGCTTGGGGATGGTCCAGGGGATAGCTTGGGGATGGTCCAGGGGATAGCTTGGGGATGGTCCAGGAGATAGCTTGGGGATGGTCCAGGGGATAGCTTGGGGATGGTCCAGGGGATAGCTTGGGGATGGTCCAGGGGATAGCTTGGGGATGGTCCAGGGGATAGCTTGGGGATGGTCCAGGGGATAGCTTGGGGATGGTCCAGGGGATAGCTTGGGGATGGTCCAGAGGATAGCTTGGGGATGGTCCAGGAGATAGCTTGGGGATGGTCCAGGCAGTACTGCCCAACTCTGTTCCAGGAGAGCTACCGTCCTGTAGGTTTTTGCTCCAACCCTAATCTAGCACACCTGATTCTAATAATTAGCAGGTTGATAAGATGAATCAGGTTAGTAACACCTGGGGTTGGAGCGAAAACCTACAGAAGGGTAGCTCTCCAGGAACAGAGTTGGACAGTCCTGGTCTAGGTGATAGCGTGGGGCTGTTCTAGGGGATAGCTTGGGGCTGGTCTAGGGCAGGGGTATTCAACTCTTACCCCTGCGAGGTTTCGGAGCCTGCTGGTTTTTTGTTCTACCTGATAATTAATTGCACCCTCCTGGTGTCCAAGGTCTAAATCATTAGAGGGGAACGATGAAAAAACGCAATGGAACTGGCTTTGGGGTCCAGAGTTGAGTTTGAGGGGTCCAGGGGATAGCTTGGGGATGGTCTAGGGCAGTGTATCCCAACCGAGGGTACGCGTACCCCTAGGGGTATGTGGGCAGTCCCCAGGTGGTACATGGGAAGATTTTCAAAAATATGAAGAAAATAAATATTGGGAAAAATATTTCCAAAAAAAAAATATATTCAATTTAATTCAATTTGAAAACATTTATTGAGGTCACTGGTGTGAAATCTGTATTTATTTGATATTTATAGGTCTACTTTTCTACTTTAGTTTTTTTGCGTTGCTCTGTCTACCTGGCCTCTGCCCGGCCGCCCGCCCGTTGGCTCAACGGTGCACGTGATCCTTCGCTCCGCGCACCAGATGACCAGCTGCTGTTATCCTCACAGAAACGGATGAACTGAAGACTGTACCATTGTCAAATAAGATGGTGTTGCCGTAGGATCGATGACATGGTCATTGATATTGTTGATCAATTGGTGAATTTTTTTCTTCATAATTCCGGTCCATTTTCTCTGCATTTGGACGAATCGACTGATGTCAGAGGGGGAAGCCCAGTTGATTGCGTTTGTGTGCGATACAGAGACATTTAAGAAATTAATGAGCACATTCTGTTCTGCAAGAAGCTAACGGGGGAGAACTACAGGTGAGGATGTGTTTCACCTATTGACAGCTTTTTCTCAGAGCACAATCTCGATTGGAAATCCTGTTTTCATGTGTGCACGGATCATGCTGCATCAATGCCTGGGAGAGTGAAACGATTAATTGCCCACATAAAGAAGGTAAATCCCGATCTATCATTCACAGGGAGGCAGTGGCCAGCAAGATAATGAGTCCTGAGTTACGTGATGTTTTGAATGACGCAGTGAATGTGATGAACTTCATCCTGTCCAGGCCTCTGAATGGCCGACTGTTTGAAAGGCTCTGTGATGACAGTGGGACTGAGCACCAGCAGCTCCTGCTTCACATCGACGTCCGTTGGCTATCCGGAGGGAAAACGCTACGGAGGCTTTTTGAGCTGCGCGCCAAAGTGAGTGATTTTCTGTCTGAGCACTCACACCCCCTTGTGGATGTGTTGGAGGACACAGACTGGGGAGCCCGCCTTACCTATCTTGCAGATGTGTTCAGCAAACTGAACAACCTGAATCTAACTCTGCAAGGTAAAGGCACACACGTTCTAAACATGTATGACAACGTGTGTGGATTCATGTAAGAAGATCAAACTATGGGAGAGGAAATGTGAAGATGGGGATATACGTTGTTTCCAGCAGCTTGACATGTAACTTTTTACAGGTGATCCTATGGTGCAGATAGTAAGCCCACATTTATCCAAACTCAACATTGAGTTCAACTCCTGCTTCCCTGACATTGAAAACAAGTCTGCCACACTTGACTGGTAGTCAAGGAACCACTGGTCTGGGGGATAGTTGGGAACCACTGGTCTAGGGGATAGTTGGGAACCACTGGTCTGGGGGATAGTTGGGAACCACTGGTCTGGGGGATAGTTGGGAACCACTGGTCTGGGGGATAGTTGGGAACCACTGGTCTGGGGGATAGTTGGGAACCACTGGTCTGGGGGATAGTTGGGAACCACTGGTCTGGGGGATAGTTGGGAACCACTGGTCTGGGGGATAGTTGGGAACCACTGGTCTGGGGGATAGTTGGGAACCACTGGTCTGGGGGATAGTTGGGAACCACTGGTCTGGGGGATAGTTGGGAACCACTGGTCTGGGGGATAGTTGGGAACCACTGGTCTGGAGGATAGTTGGGAACCACTGGTCTGGGGGATAGTTGGGAACCACTGGTCTGGGGGATAGTTGGGAACCACTGGTCTGGGGGATAGTTGGGAACCACTGGTCTGGGGGATAGTTGGGAACCACTGGTCTGGGGGATAGTTGGGAACCACTGGTCTGGGGGATAGTTGGGAACCACTGGTCTGGGGGATAGTTGGGAACCACTGGTCTGGGGGATAGTTGGGAACCACTGGTCTGGGGGATAGTTGGGAACCACTGGTCTGGGGGATAGTTGGGAACCACTGGTCTGGGGATAGTTGGGAACCACTGGTCTGGGGGATAGTTGGGAACCACTGGTCTGGGGGATAGTTGGGAACCACTGGTCTGGGGGATAGTTGGGAACCACTGGTCTGGGGGATAGTTGGGAACCACTGGTCTGGGGGATAGTTGGGAACCACTGGTCTGGGGGATAGTTGGGAACCACTGGTCTGGGGGATAGTTGGGAACCTCTGGTCTGGGGGATAGTTGGGAACCACTGGTCTGGGGGATAGTTGGGAACCACTGGTCTGACTCACCTACTACCCAAGTAGATTATTGGAAAACACAAACACTTAGCTTCCTACATGTGGAAATTAAAAGGTTTATGAAGGACTTTTTGGAGGGTAACAGTTTTTTTTATTTTTATATAGACATAGATGACAGGCGCATGGGTCCCACGAGCTCTGGGGTAGCAGGTGAGTAAGAGACAATAGGCCTGTCATACACCTAATTGGCCTAGTGCTCAGAGGCAGATGGCAGCCCGCTCCGGCATCCTCACTTCATTGACTATCAGGTTAAAAAGTAAATTGAATCAGCAGGTTAGACTTGGATACAGAGAGTCATATAAACAAAGTACCAAGTCGTGGATGACAAAAACGCCACAACAAAGCATTATCTGATTAAGCTCGTGCCAAATTACAGAAGATAACCACATTATTCAGACCAGTCAGCGAAGCCACCATGTCCTCGACTGATGAAACAAGCTAGCCGATGAAGCTAGTACTACTGCAGCAGCTAGCACTAGCAGCCTCTCAGTCCCGACAAAGACCAGGGCCATGCTGCCAGGGCCTTGCTGCCAGGGCCATGCTGCCAGGGCCTTGCTGCCAGGGCCTTGCTGCCAGGGCCATGCTGCCAGGGCCTTGCTGCCAGGGCCTTGCTGCCAGGGACATGCTGCCAGGGCCATGCTGCCAGGGCCATGCTGCCAGGGCCATGCTGCCAGGGCCTTGCTGCCAGGGCCATGCTGCCAGGGCCTTGCTGCCAGGGCCATGCTGCCAGGGCCTTGCTGCCAGGGCCATGCTGCCAGGGCCATGTTGGTCTAATGACAGTTGGTCTAATGACAGTTGGTCTAATGACAGTTGGTCTAGTGACAGTTGGTCTAATGACAGTTGGTCTAGTGACAGTTGGTCTAGTGACAGTTGGTCTAGTGACAGTTGGTCTAATGACAGTTGGTCTAATGACAGTTGGTCTAGTGACAGTTGGTCTAATGACAGTTGGTCTAGTGACAGTTGGTCTAATGACAGTTGGTCTAGTGACAGTTGGTCTAATGACAGTTGGTCTAATGACAGTTGGTCTAGTGACAGTTGGTCTAATGACAGTTGGTCTAGTGACAGTTGGTCTAATGACAGTTGGTCTAATGACAGTTGGTCTAGTGACAGTTGGTCTAATGACAGTTGGTCTAGTGACAGTTGGTCTAATGACAGTTGGTCTAGTGACAGTTGGTCTAATGACAGTTGGTCTGGTGACAGTTGGTCTAATGACAGTTGGTCTAGTGACAGTTGGTCTAATGACAGTTGGTCTAATGACAGTTGGTCTAGTGACAGTTGGTCTAATGACAGTTGGTCTAATGACAGTTGGTCTAATGACAGTTGGTCTAATGACAGTTGGTCTAGTGACAGTTGGTCTAGTGACAGTTGGTCTAATGACAGTTGGTCTAGTGACAGTTGGTCTAATGACAGTTGGTTTAATGACAGTTGGTCTAATGACAGTTGGTCTAGTGACAGTTGGTTTAATGACAGTTGGTCTAGTGACAGTTGGTCTAATGACAGTTGGTCTAGTGACAGTTGGTCTAGTGACAGTTGGTCTAGTGACAGTTGGTCTAATGACAGTTGGTCTAGTGACAGTTGGTCTAATGACAGTTGGTCTAATGACAGTTGGTCTAATGACAGTTGGTCTAGTGACAGTTGGTCTAGTGACAGTTGGTCTAATGACAGTTGGTCTAGTGACAGTTGGTCTAATGACAGTTGGTCTAATGACAGTTGGTCTAGTGACAGTTGGTCTAATGACAGTTGGTCTAATGACAGTTGGTCTAATGACAGTTGGTCTAATGACAGTTGGTCTAGTGAAAGTTGGTCTAATGACAGTTGGTCTGGTGACAGTTGGTCTAATGACAGTTGGTCTAATGACAGTTGGTCTAGTGACAGTTGGTCTAGTGACAGTTGGTCTAATGACAGTTGGTTTAATGACAGTTGGTCTAGTGACAGTTGGTCTGGTGACAGTTGGTCTAGTGACAGTTGGTCTAATGATAGTTGGTCTAGTGACAGTTGGTCTAATGACAATTGGTCTAATGACAGTTGGTCTAGTGACAGTTGGTCTAGTGACAGTTGGTCTAGTGACAGTTGGAGTGTCTGTGTTCTATGTTGTTACTGCAACCACACAACTCAAACGCTGCTTCACCAGTAAGAACGAAATCGCAAACTGCTTTCTTTGTTTGAGCCCTCAAGAACTCTGCTAAAGATGATAATCTGTTTGCATCTGCCAATTTATTCTCCAGACCATCTTTGGAGACATTCTCCCATTCCTTACTTCCCTCATCAACTCATCACTGACCACTGGCTACGTCCCCTCTGACTTCAAAATGTCAGAGTTTCTCCCCTCCTCAAGAAACCAACACTCAACCCCTCTGACGTCAAAAACTACAGACCGCTATCCGTTATTTAATTATATTTCAAAACACTTGAGCGTGCTTTCTCTGACCAACTCTCTCGCAAATCTCTCTCAGAACGATGTTCTTGACCCTAACCAGTCAGGCTTCAAGACGGGTAACTTAACTGAGACTGCTCTTCTCTGTGTCACGGAGGCTCTCCGCACTGCCAAAGCTGACTCTCTCTCCTCAGTTCTCATTCTCCTAGATCTGTCCGCTGCCTTCGACACAGTGAATCATCATATCCTCCTCTCCACCCTCTCAGGGCTGGGCGTCTCAGGCTCTTATATTGTCAGCTTAGAAATCTATTTCCATTTCTGTATGGACCTCGCTTTGTGCACAGGGGCATTGTCATGCTGAAACAGGAAAGGGCCTTCCCTAAACTGTTGCCACAAAGTTGGAAGCACAGAATCGTTGAGAATCTCATTGTATGCTGTAGCGTGAAAGATTTCCCTTCACTGGAACTAAGGGGCCTAGCCCGAACCATAAAAAACAGTCCCAGACCATTATTTATCCTCCACCAAACTTTACAGTTGGCACTATGTATTGGGGCAGGTAGCGTTCTCCTGGCATCCGCCAAACCCAGATTTGTCTGCCAGATGGTGAAGCGTGATTCACCACTCAAGAGAACGCGTTTCCACTGCTCCAGAGTCCAATGGCGGCGAGCTTTACACCTATCCAGCCGACGCTTGACATTGTGAATGTTGATCTTAGGCTTGTATGCGGCTGCTCGGCCATGGAAACCCATTTCATACGGGACAGACCATTTGTACGCGCTACATGCTTCAGCACTTGGCTGTCCCGTTCTGTGAGCTTGTGTGGCCTACCACTTCGCGGCTGAGCCGTTGTTGCTCCTAGACGTTTCCACTTCACAATAACATCACTTACAGTTGACCGGGGGCAGCTCTAGCAGGACAGAAACTTGACGAACTGACTTGTTGGAAAGGTGGCATCCTATGACGGTGCCACGTTGAAAGTCACTGAGCTCTTCAGTACGGGCCATTCTACTGCCAATGTTTGTCTGTGGAGATTGCATGGCTGTGTGCTTGATTTTATACACCTGTCAGCAACGGGTGTGGCTGAAATAGCAGGTCCTAATCCAGGCACTTGTCATCTCCTGTCTGGACTACTGCAACTCACTGTGGTTAAGGTACCGGTTAGGCATTAGGGTTAGCACTGTGGTTAAGGTACGGGTTAGGCATTAGGGTTAGCACTGTGGTTAAGGTACGGGTTAGGCATTAGGGTTAGCACTGTGGTTAAGGTACGGGTTAGGCATTAGTGTTAGCACTGTGGTTAAAGTACGGGTTAGGCATTAGGGTTAGCACTGTGGTTAAGGTACGGATTAAGGCATTAGGGTTAGCACTGTGGTTAAGGTACGGGTTAGGCATTAGGGTTAGCACTGTGGTTAAGGTACGGGTTAGGCATTAGGGTTGGCACTGTGGTTAAAGTACGGGTTACGCATTAGGGTTAGCACTGTGGTTAAGGTAAGGGTTAGGCATTAGGGTTAGCACTGTGGTTAAGGTACGGGTTAGGCATTAGGGTTAGCACTGTGGTTAAGGTACGGATTAAGGCATTAGGGATAGCACTGTGGTTAAGGTACGGGTTAGGCATTAGGGTTAGCACTGTGGTTAAGGTTAGCGTTAAGGTTAGGGTTAGCACTGTGGTTAAGGTACGGGTTAGGCATTAGGGTTAGCACTGTGGTTAAGGTTAGGGTTAGCACTGTGGTTAAGGTTAGGGTTAGGCATTAGGGTTAGCACTGTGGTTAAGGTACGGGTTAGGCATTAGGGTTAGCACTGTGGTTAAGGTTAGGGTTAGCACTGTGGTTAAGGTTAGGGTTAGCACTGTGGTTAAGGTACGGGTTAGGCATTAGGGTTAGCACTGTGGTTAAGGTTAGCGTTAAGGTTAGGGTTAGCACTGTGGTTAAGGTACGGGTTAGGCATTCTGCCTCCAGAACAAGATTCATGACGAAAAACGCTAACCTGCCCTTAGTTTCCGGTTTCTCGTTCACCGTCTCTTTCCATTCAACTTAAAATACAGAAATAAAAGTACACCACAACAAAAAAAGTCAGGTCCAACCTGGCCCGGGGCTGTCTGCATGTACTGGACGTTGCCAGCGTTGACGTCTTCCTGGGAGAAGGTCTGGACGGGGGTCTGTTCAGTTCCAACGTACTGCTCCTCAGCCTCCACGAAGCACCGCAGGAACCCGTGTAGCGGGGCCACCTTAACTGTAAATACAATCTCAGACGGCAAGTTGTCCTCGTGGATGACCTGGACAGACAGACAGAGAGCGAGACAGACAGACAGACAGACAGACAGACAGACAGACAGACAGACAGACAGACAGACAGACAGACAGACAGACAGACAGACAGACAGACAGACAGACAGACAGACAGACAGACGTTAGAGGCTGGGGGCTAGAGACAGAGGCTATTTTCTGTCATGTCTGGTAGTGTCCCAAACTGCAACCCTATTCACTATTTAGTGCACTACTTTTGACCACCCCTGGTCAACAGTATTTCACTATATTGGGAATGGGGTGCCGTTTGGGACAGAACCTCTGAGATGTTTGGTGTGACACTTGGCATCATGTTTCAAGTTTGACGTGTTACTTGACATGACACGGGGAAATAAGCTCAGGATTTACAATACACTTTGGATCATATACTGAGGAACTTCTAGTACTGACACAGTACGTATAAAATAACAATGTATCTATGTACAAATACTGCTTAGCAAAATATTGATATATTCAAGTCTACATCAATCACTGGAATATCCAATCATTCATAATTTCATCCATCCATCCATCAATCTATCCATCTATCCATCCGTCCATCCCCAACCTAGACAACATACATACCTCCAGTCTACTCTCGTCAATCTTCACAGGCTTGCGCTCCTCCACCCGTAAAGTGTTGTTGTGCTGGAGGATAGGTGGCCTCTGATGGCTCTCCAGGTAAATCTTAACATTGACTCTGGCATTCAGATAAGTGCCTTTAACCTTGACTGTCACGTTGAAAGAGTCCACCAGGTTCTTTCTGTCGTCATGGCGATACGAAACAAGGCCCTTCTTCAGGTCATGCTGGGTGAACGACCGCATGGAGATGTTCCCTTGGCGATACAGCCGACCGTTCCTTGGAGGCTCGGACACCTTGTAGGTGACCTCGCTGTCGTCTCGGATGTCGAGGTTCGTGAGCACGCTGAAGTTACCTGTGGTTAGGGTAACTTCCTTTCCCTTCTGGACTAACAAACCTATGGATGAATTGATGAATGGATGGCTCGATAAATTACAATATGGAGTAGCCATGTGAGTACAATAACAACACACATAAAAAATCATCAAGGATAAAAACACTATAAAGTCAACAGATTTGTTTCCATTGTGGTCCTTGTTCTCAGACAGGCAAAACAATGGACAGCTTGAGCAAGACATTGGGGACTCCAGTCCAAAGGCACTTTACATCACAATTAATTTGGAAAATGCATACAATGTATAAAATATACACACATACACACATACCTGTGTTGTTGCCGAGTCTTAGGAAAGGGTCTTCGGCAGTTACGTCCAGAAGAGTGGAGACAAAGTGTTTCCCGTCGGACACGAAGAGCACGAAGCGTCCGGAGCTCACGCCTCGATGGAGGAACAACACCCTCTTCTCTTCCAGCTCCTTCTGGGTGAACTGGAACAGCCTGGAGGTCAGAGGTCAGAGGTCAGAGTTCAGGAAAGTTGATTTATAGTGTCACTCAATTATATAAGATCAATTTACAATAAATATTACAAAATATATATATTTTATAATTATTACTATTATTATCATTATTATTATGATTAAAAACAACATTTTGGACCACTCAGGGAGAGTTTTGAGACACTATTAATATTAATCGACAGTCATAATACATTATATATTTAATATGTAAAAAAACAAAAACAGAAAGTACCGGTGAGAGGTGTCATTCACCAGAACCAGGTCTCCCATCGGGATTCCCCGTCGCGTGTAGACCAACTGCCCATCGCTGAAGTCCGAGTCTGCGTCATGGTAACATAGATCGTCCAGGGTGAGCAACCGCTGCCCGTCCCTCACCACGTGGAAAACTTTATCGACAACGCGCACCGGCTTTTCGTCATTAACTAGCTGGATGGAAATGTTGAACGTCCCTTCTTTACGCCCGACTTCATCGTCTGTGACGGAGGATTTGGACTCCTGACTAGTGGAGGCTACGAATGTGAATTGGTCCCGAGTGGTCTCTGTGTCGTCGTGGATGAACATGAGGCGCTCCTCCAAGAGGTCCTGGTTGCTGAACGTTCGGATGATGTTGTAACTGGTGTTGGAGTTGGACAGGTTGATGCGTTGTAGCTTCCCGTGTTTGGGACTACTTGTGATAGTGTAGTACATCTCCTTGGTGCTGAGAGTCTCCGCAAACAACTCGTCCTTTGTGATGAGTTTACTCTCTCCCTCCTTGATCAAAAGTCCATAATTTCTTATAAATACGCTGTTGACATCGGCTTTTATTGAGATCTGGAAATCGTAACTTTGCGTTTGAGCATGTCTGGAGAACACTTGGAATTGAAACGTGTCGCTCGTGTCTTCGTACGGTCTGTCGACCAGTTCGTATTGTAGCTTTAGATCAGTGACATTCCTTTGGCTGAAAGTTGAGTTTTTCTTCAGTAACTCGTTAACAAGCAGAAGTTGTCCTTTCTTCGGTGAGGATAGAACTCTGAAGTGCAGATCATCCTCGGATAGTGTCACAACGTCCACAGTGGCATAAAGATACTGCGAGTCCAACGTCACTTTCCGAACTTTATCAATGTTGGCCATTACGTTCCTTACTAAGTTATAATGTACCCACTTCACAGTGATGGGGAAGACCAGTTCAGTATCGACCCTACCAGCTACAGTGACCTTGCATTTGAAGTAATCCGTAGCATTTGCCGTCTGGATTTCTTGGAAAGTACTGAGGTACCGAAGGCGTTCTTTCTCCAGTAGCCTTTGGGAGAAGGAACCGGTGGGCTTCCATTCGCCGCTGGAGTGAAGCCTCTGCAGCTCCCCATACTGAGGGGGCTCGACAACATCGTATCGGATGTCCACCACCTGCTTCACAGCATTGGTCTGAACGGCCAGGTGCTTGTTACCGATCACAGACACATCACCCTGAGTTATCTCAAGCCCGGTGTTGTTGCCGATCTTATACTCCAACCCTATGGCCATGATCCTCAGCACAACTGTATTGCTCACCTTGTCTCCATCACTGACCCTCAGGACGATCCTGGAGTTCCTCACCCCAGTGTGGACATAGTTCACCTTCCCTTCCTTCAGGTCAGAATGGGAGAATGTGGTCACTGCAGCCCCGGGGTTGTCTTCCACCTCCAGGTACCCTGCGTCAGTGTTCAGATTCCCCAGGATGGAGAAGACTAGGTCGGCGGGGTTGCTGTCGATGTCCGTGGCCTTCAACACCTCCGTGGTCAGGTGTTTTCTAGAGTTCTCCAGCAGGATGAAAAGGTTCCCCTGGGGCAGGCTGAGCTCGGGGGAGTCGTTGGTGGGCATCACCGTGATGTTGTAGCGGTACCTCCTGGTCCCTTGCAGGTAGTCAGGAACCTCCTTCCTGCTGCTGGAGAAGATAGAGAAGATGAAGAAGTCTTCTGGGTCCTCTGATCCCCCGTGGATGTACATCACCCTGCCGTGCCACAGGTCCAGCATGCTGAAGGTGTTCTCCTCTTGGTCCTGGTCTACATCCAGTCTGATCTGACCGTGCACCGGCTGCTCTTGGATCCGGAACATGATCTGGGACTGCCGTACTCTGAGCTTCTTGAAGTCCAGGAGAACCTTGATGTGTTTGGATTCCAGAGATCCATGTCCGCCCTCCAGGACCACGAGGTTCCTGAGCAGCACGAAGTTCGTCCCGTACCTCTTGTCCAGCCCCCTGTCCAGAGTGGACATGGGGAATTCTGGTGTGGGGGTGACTGAAGTGGGATCGAAGCGGGACTTGGGGACAGTCGGGAGAGTCGTTGGAGTCATCGTGGTCGAGGGCTCTGGTTCTTTCTCCGGCTCGCAGCCCACCGATATATCCTTCGTGACTGCAGCGTTGGGCAGACCCATCTTCACCCCATTGACCTTCATGTCATTCAGACAGCCCTTGAACGAACCTCCTCTGAACCTCTTCCCCGACACAGACAACAGACCCATCTTCCGGACTTCTGAGCGTGTGCTGTCGTCAATGCCCCCAACAAAGAGAGAACCCCTCAGCTGTAGTCCCTTGGAGCGAGAGCTGATGCTAGTCTTTACCGTCTCCTCGTCCACTGTCAGCTGGAGGGTCTTGGGGGTGAAGAACAGCTTGACTGAATGCCAGTTCCTGTCATTGACGAAGGTAAGGGAGCGGAGTTCTGTTTTGGTGCCTCCTTTACCAATGAGGGCCACAGGCAACCCCTCTTGGATCTCAACTGCCACAAAGCCCCCCTGTCTGGCCGAGTTGTAAAGGATGATCCCCTCTTTAGCCGAGGTGTGAACCACACATTCAAACAGCGCCTCCTGCTGGACGTGGGAGATATTCCAGGGTGGCAGGGAGATATACGCTCTAGAACTAAAGAAGCTAACTGGGTCCTCCTCGTTGGCGAAAAACTGGGGACTACAGCCCAAAGAAACCTCATAGACGCTCTTGAGTCCAGCGTAAGGTCTCAACGAAGATAACATATCGTGTCCGTTGAAGACAGCCTCGTCCATACACCCCCTGAAACCAGTCAGGTCACTGGGGAGGTAGAACTTGTCCAGGCCTCCAGAGCCGCCGATGTACAGCCCTTCCTGGATGCTCAGCTCCTGTTTCTGAGAACCATGCCCGGGCATCCTGAGGCTGGTGTGGGAGTGCTGGTCCACGGTCAGGGTGACATTGTGGCGGTTGTGGAGGAGCTCAGCAGTGTGCCAGGCCAGGTCGTTTAGCTGGGTGCTACTCTCAGACCGTAGCAAACGCTCACCGGACCCCAAGTCCAGTTTCACCTGAGGAAGAGACGAAGAAAATATGTGATTCAAATGATCACTTTAAACTGGAGTTTTAAACTTAACCAATCAAATGTACTGTAAAAAAACAACAACTGCTAAACCTGATCAGAACCTATTGGAATATCTTGCCTAAACAAAATCACCCATATTTATTGCCTAAACCTAACAAATCACATTTACTGCCTACCCTCGAGATAGAGCTGCCCTTAGAATAAGACTAACTCCATTCAGCCAGAACAAGACTGAATAACTCCACTCAGCCAGATACACATTGTTTTGTCACTGTCACTTATATTGCATAACTACATTACCTAACTATCTGGTAATATTTATATTTTAGTGAGAAAGAAATATCCCATTTCAGTTCTATTCACAGCCTTTAATTTATTTTTATTTTTTTCACACCCTCAGCGTCACCAAGATATAAGGAACACACTGACACCTTCATGGTGTCCCGTGTAGCTCAGTTGTTAGATTGTGGCGCTTGCAATGCCAGGGTTGTGGGTTCGTTTCCCACGGGGGGCCAGTATGAAAATGTATGCACTCTGGATAAGAGCGTCTGCTAAATGACTAAAATGTAAATGGTATTATGAATACATTTCCAAGCCGTGATATAACCTATAGTTAAAACAGAGAGCTTTGTTTCCCAGAAGAACCCTTTCTGCTTTCAACTGTGTCCCAAATGACCCCCTATTTAGTGCACTACTTTTGACCAGGGCCCATAGGGTTATATACACTGTATAGGGAATAGGGTCCAATTTGGGACGCAGTTCCTATCTCTGTGGAGCTCTGCATCGGGAGGACATGGCTTGTCAAGGCTTGCTGCTGAATCCCAGCTATACACGCAGGGTTTCAAGACAACACAACAGCAATGCTAATCTCTAAACTCTGATTCAATCAGAAAGAGACCCCAAGCCTGAGGACCCAAAAAAAAAAAAGTCAAAAGAATGTTGGTGAATTTGATGACCTAGGTTGGCTTAAGAAGGGGCACGAATGAGCAGTTTTCTTGCTCCTCACGGCACGCTCAACAGACACACACACGGCGCCATCGTCAGCACAATTCACACGTCACACTTCACTCTCCACTCCCCAACACGAAATGAAATGAAATGTATAACCCAGGGAGATATTCTTCAGTCGCAGGGATTGGTGACAGTGACAGTGACGGTGTGATGCAGAGTGCAGATAAAAAAACGCATCTCAAAGATTTTTCCGGAAAACAACGTTTCTTTCATCTAACACTTCTGACTGTGTCACAAAAAGCCTCTATAACCTGTCCTTCGCTTATGCTGATTTCTTCTGATATAAAAGCTTTGTGAGAAGTTTGACCCATGTCTTCAAGCGACAAATGACTTTCCTTCTTTCGAATCTGTCAGCAGAGCACAGCTCTCTACTAGCCTAGATACAGTCCATTCGGAAAGTATTCAGACCCCTTGACTTTTTCCACATGTTGTTACATTACAGCCTTATTCTAAAATGGATTACATTGTTTCTACACCCAATACCTCATGATGACAAAGCAAAAACAGGTTTTTATAAATTTTTGCAAACGTATTAAAAATAAAAAAACTTATATCACATTTACATAAGTATTCAGACCCTTTACTCAGTACTTTGTTGAAACACTTTTGGCAGCCTCAAGTCTTCTTGGGTATGACGCTACAAGCTTGGCACACCTGTATTTGGGGAGTTTCTCCCATTCTTCTCTGCAGATCCTCTCAAGCTCTGTCAGGTTGGATGGGGAGCGTCGCTGCACAGCTATTTTCAGGTCTCTCCAGAGATGTTCCATCGGGTTCAACTCCGGGCTCTGGCTGGGCCACTCAAAGACATTCAGAGACATGTCCCGAAGCCACTCCTGCGTTGTGTTGGCTTTGTGCTTAAGGTTGTTGCCCTGTTAGAAGGTGAACCTTCGCCCCAGTCTGAGGTCCTGAGCAGGTTTTCATCAAGGATCTCTCTGTACTTTGCTCCGTTCATCTTTCCCTCAATCCTGAGTATTCTCCCAGTCCCTGCCGCTGAAAAACATCCCCACAGCATGATGCTGCCACCACCATGTTTCCCCGTAGGGATGGTGCCAGGTTTCCTCCAGATGTGACGCTTGGCATTCTGGCCAAAGAGTTCAATCTTGGTTTCATCAGACCAGAGAATCTTGTTTCTCATTTCTCATGGTCTGAGAGTCCTTTAGGTGCCTTTTGGCAAACTCCAAGCGGGCTGTCATGTGCCTTTTAGTGAGGAGTGGCTTCCGTCTGGCCACTCTACCATAAAGGCCTGATTGGTAGAGTGCTGTAGAGATGGTTGTCCTTCTGTAAGGTTATCCCATCTCCACAGAAGAACTCTGGAGCTCGGTCAGAGTGACCATTGGGTTCTTGGTCACCTCCCTGACCAAGGCCCTTCTCCCCTGATTGCTCAGTTTGGCCGGGAGGCCAGCTCTAGGAAGAGTCTTGGTGGTTCCAAACTTCTTCCATTTAAGAAGGATGGAAGCCATTGTGTTCTTGGGGACCTTCAATGCTGCATACATTTTTTGGTACCCTTCCCCAGATCTGTGCCTCGACGCAATCCTGTCTCAGAGCTCTACGGACAATTCCTTCGACCTCATGGCTTGTTTTTTGCTCTGACATTCACTGTCAACTGTGGGACCTTATATAGACAGGTGTGTGCCTTTCCAAATAATTTCCAATCAATTGAATTTACCACAGGTGGACTCCAATCAAGTTGTAGAAACATCTAAATGATGATCAATGGAAACAGGATGCACCTGAGCTCAATTTTGAGTCTCATAGCAAAGGGTCTGAATACTTATGTAAATAAGGTATTTCTGTTTTTTGTTTTTTTTCGATTTGTCATTATGGGGTATTGTGTGTAGATTGATGAGGAACATTTTTAATTTAATCCATTTAAGAATAAGGCTGTAACGTAACAAAATGTGGAAAAAGTAAATGGGCCTGAATATTTTACGACTGCATTGTATAGTAGGATCAGACAACCAAGTTGTAACCTACAACACCCTTTGTAACTTTCTATTTTAAACCACAACCAGAACTGTTCCTCTATATCATATTTATTACAAAACCAGTGTAATTTATAGTTGTGAGGAATGCAGCCTATTCTGTGCTGGAACATGATTACTAATTAATTGAAATACATTTCCAGGATATCGTATCAATGGTGACCCATGAATACAAAATCAGTGGTGGAAAAAGTACTCAATTGTCATACTTGAGTAAAAGTAAAGATACCTTAATAGAAAATGACTCAAGTAAAAATGAAAGTCACCCAGTAAAATACTACTTGAGTAAAAGTCTAAAAGTATTTGGTTTTAAATATACTTAAGTATCAAAAGTAAATGTAATTGCTAATATATACTTAAGTATCAAAAGTAAAAGTACAAGTATAAATCATTTAAAATGTCTTATATTAAGCTAAACAGATGGCACGATTTTATTTTTTATTTTTTATTTAGGGATAGCCAGGAGCGCACTCCAACACTCAGACATAATTTACAAATGAAGCATTTGTGTTTAGTGAGTCTGTCAGATCAGAGGCAGTAGAGATGGCCAGGGATGTTCTCTTGATAAGTGCATGAATTTGACCATTTTCCCATCCTGCTCAAAATGTAATTAGTACTCTGGGTGTCAAGGAAAATGTATAAAGTACATTATTTTATTTAGGAATGTAGTGAAGTAAAAGTACAAGTTGTCAAAAATATAAATAGTAAAGTGAGGTACAGATACCCCAAAAACTACTTATGTAGTACTTTAAACTATTTTTACTTAAGTACTTTACACCACTGTATAACATTTACCAATTTTACCATTTGAATTAATCAATCCATCTGCAAATGAAATTACCTATCAATGTGCACAACCCTTAATACAGTAGAAGTCGGAAGTTTACATACACCTTAGCCAAATACATTTTCACTCAGTTTTTCACAATTCCTGACATTTAATCCTAGTAAGAATTCCGTCTTAGGTCAGTTAGGATCACCACTTTATTATAAGAATGTGAAATGTCAGAATAATAGTAGAGAGAATTATTTATTTCAGCTTTTACTTCTTTCATCACATTCCCAGTGGGTCAGAAGTTTACATACACTCAATTAGTATTTGGTAGCATTGCCTTTAAATTGTTTAACTTGGGTCAAACGTTTCGGGTAGCCTTCCACAAGCTTCCCACAATAAGTTGGGTGAATTTTGGCCCATTCCTCCTGACAGAGCTGGTGTAACTGAGTCAGCTTTGTAGGCCTCCTTGCTCGCACACGCTTTTTCAGTTCTGCCCACAAATGTTCTATAGGATTGAGGTCAGGGCTTTTCGATGGCCACTCCAATACCTTGAATTTGTTGTCCTTAAGCCATTTTGCCACAACTTTGGAAGTATGCTTGGAGTCATTGTCCATTTGGAAGAACCATTTGCGACCAATCTTTAAGTTCCTGACAGATGTCTTGAGATGTTGCTTCAATATATCCACATCATTTTCCTTCCTCATGATGCCATCTATTTTGTGAAATGCACCAGTCCCTCCTGCAGCAAAGCACCCCCACAGCATGATGCTGCCACCCCCGTGCTTCACAGTTGGGATGGTGTTCTTCGGCTTGCAAGCGTCCCCCTTTTTCCTCCAAACATAACGATGGTCATTATGGCCAAACAGTTCTATTTTTGTTTCATCAGACCAGAGGACATTTCTTCAAAAAATATGATCTTTGTCCCCATGTGCAGTTGCAAACCGTAGTCTGGCTTTCTTATGGCGGTTTTGGAGCAGTGGCTTCTTCCTTGCTGAGTGGCCTTTCAGCTTATGTCGATATAGGACTCGTTTTACTGTGGATATAGATACTTTTGTACCTGTTTCCTCCAGCATCTTCACAAGGTCCTTTGCTGTTGTTCTGGGATTGATTTGCACTTTTCGCACCAAAGTACGTTCATCTCTAGGAGACAGAACGCGTCTCCTTCCTGAGCGGTATGACGGCTGCGTGGTCCCATGGTGTTTACACTTGCGTACTATTGTTTGTACAGATGAACGTGGTACCTTCAGGCGTTTGGAAATTGCTCCCAAGGATGAACCAGACTTGTGGAGGTCAACAAAAAAAATTCTGAGGTCTTGGCTGAATTCTTTTGATTTTCCCATGATGTCGTGCAAAGAGGCACTGAGTTTGAAGGTAGGCCTTGAAATACATCCACAGGTACACCTCCAATTGACTGAAATTATGTCAATTAGCCTATCAGAAGCTTCTAAAGCCATGACATCATTTTCTGCAATTTTCCAAGCTGTTTAAAGGTACAGTCAATTTAATGTATGTAAACTTCAGACCCACTGGAATTGTGATACAGTGAATTATAAGTTAAATAATCTGTCTGTAAACAATTGTTGGAAAAATTACTTGTGTCATGCACATAGTAGATGTCCTAACCGACTTGCCAAAACTATAGTTTGTTAACAAGAAATTTGTGGAGTGGTTGAAAAAAACGAGTTTGAATGACTCCAACCTAAGTGTATGTAAACTTCCGACTTCGACTGTAACTACAGTCATTGTCACACAACCTCACTGACTGTTTTTCTAGTTGTAGTTGCTCTTAGGGGGCCTCAACATATCTCACCGTCTGGGATGAGACTAACTCTGCCTGCTTGTGTTGTTTTGTTGAATGACTGACTGACTGACACTGTCAGTTGGGAGCTGGGATAGAGACATAGCCAGAGGTTGTGTGTGACGGGTCTGCAGGGTTGGTAGTTACTGATTACATGTAATCAGATTACACAAAAAAACTATAACTGCCACTGTTAGCAGCAAAAAAATAAATGTAATCAGATTACAAATACTTTTGAAAAACTACATGATTACTTATTGGATTACTTTTATCGATCAGGAGCTCTAACGGGGCAGTCCCGTTAGTTCCCTTACATACTGACAAGTCATATTTGCATGATTTAGCTTATTCATAATTAATTAATAATTTACGTTTGCTTCATTCATGTGACTGACCAATACTGGGTCATGCATGTGACAGACCAAAACCTCACAAGGCTTCTTCTCTCTAAGCTGAGTCCTTGAAACTGAGATATCCCTTTCTCTAAACAAAGTCCTGGGCATACTGTGAAATTGCAGACACTGATAGTGAGGATTCGTCCAATCGGTCACTTGCATGAACACAGAAATTGGTTTATAGAAAAGCACAAACATAGAACACAGAAATGTATAAAATAGAAAAGCACCAACATAACATTTTGACACCTTTCTGTTTTCTCAACGACATTCAATTCAGCATTGAAAAAAGTTTACGTTTGTTCCACCTGAGTCTGATCACAAGTATGAGATCACTATGATGTCAGAGACCACTATGAAGTCAGAGACCACTATGATGTCAGAGCCACTATGAAGTTAGAGACCACTATGATGTCAGAGACCACTATGATGTCAGAGACCACTATGAAGTCAGAGACCACTATGATGTCAGAGACCACTATGATGTCAGAGACCACTATGATGTTAGAGACCACTATGATGTCAGAGACCACTATGAAGTTAGAGACCACTATGATGTCAGAGACCACTATGATGTCAGAGACCACTATGAAGTCAGAGACCACTATGATGTCAGAGACCACTATGATGTCAGAGACCACTATGATGTTAGAGACCACTATGATGTCAGAGACCACTATGATGTCAGAGACCACTATGATGTCAGAGACCAGAGGCTACTCTTCCTGGGGTTTATTATGGATCCCCATTAGTTCCTGTCAAGGCAGCAGCTACTCTTCCTGGGGTTTATTATGGATCCCCAATAGTTCCTGCCAAGGCAGCAGCTACTCTTCCTGGGGTTTATTATGGATCCCCATTAGTTCCTGCCAAGGCAGCAGCTACTCTTCCTGGGGTTTATTATGGATCCCCATTAGTTCCTGCCAAGGCAGCAGCTACTCTTCCTGGGGTTTATTATGGAACCCCATTAGTTCCTGCCAAGGCAGCAGCTACTCTTCCTGGGGTTTATTATGGATCCCCATTAGTTCCTGCCAAGGAAGCAGCTACTCTTCCTGGGGTTTATTATGGATCCCCATTAGTTCCTGCCAAGGCAGCAGCTACTCTTCCTGGGGTTTATTATGGATCCCCATTAGTTCCTGCCAAGGCAGCAGCTACTCTTCCTGGGGTTTATTATGGATCCCCATTAGTTCCTGCCAAGGCAGCAGCTACTCTTCCTGGGGTTTATTATGGATCCCCATTAGTTCCTGCCAAGGCAGCAGCTACTCTTCCTGGGGTTTATTATGGATCCCCATTAGTTCCTGCCAAGGCAGCAGCTACTCTTCCTGGGGTTTATTATGGAACCCCAGTAGTTCCTGCCAAGGCAGCAGCTACACTTCCTGGGGTTTATTATGGATCCCCAGTAGTTCCTGCCAAGGCAGCAGCTACACTTCCTGGGGTTTATTATGGATCCCCAGTAGTTCCTGCCAAGGCAGCAGCTACTCTTCCTGGGGTCTAAACAAGATTAAGGCAATTACATACAAAATAAAACAGTACATCACACAACACATTATTACACCACAACATATCTACAATACAATACATTATTACACCACTACTCTACCACTACATATCTACAATACAACACATTATTACACCACTACATATCTACAATACAACACATTAGTACACCACGACATATCTACAAACAACACATTATACACCACTACATATGCACAATACAACACATAGACACCACATAGGCGACAAGACAACAAAAGGAGACAACCCACACAACACAAGACAACACAGGAGGTACACACGACAAGCGACAAGAAACACACATTAGGACACCACGACAGATCACAAACAACACAGGAACACCACGACAGCACAAGTACAACACAGGAGACACCACGACAGAGCGACAAGACAAACACAGGAGGACACCACAACAGAGCGACAAGACAACACAGTAGACACCACGACAGACGACCAGACAACACAGGAGGACACACGACAGAGGACAAGACAACACAGAGGACACCACGACAAGAGACAAGACAACACGAGGACACCACGACAGAGCGACAAACAAACACAGGAGGACACCACGACAGAGCGACAAGACAAACAGGAGGACACCACGACAGAGCGACAAGACAACACAGGAGACTACACAACACAAGACACACGGAGACCACGACAGAGCACAGACAACACAGGATGGACACCACGACAGAGCGACAAGACAACACAGAGGACACCACGACAGAGACGACAAGACAACACAGGGAGGACACCCACGACAGAGCGACCAAGACAACACAGGAGGACACCACGACAGAGCGACAAGACAACAACAGGAGGACACCAGACAGAGCTACAAGACAACACTAGGAGGACACACGACGACCAACAAGTACCAACAATACTACACAGGAGGACACACCGACAGAGGTACAAACAACACAGGAGTACACCACGACAGAGCGACATACAACACAGTATGGACACCACGACTCTGACCCACAGTAATCACAAGAAACACAGTGGACACCCACGACGCACTACGACAATACGACAAGACAACAACATAGTACACACCACTACTATACAAGCCCAACACAGTATTACTCCACACAGTAGTCCTACAAGACAACACATGATACACCACACAATGGACAAGACAACATTAGATACACCACTACAACACAATCACATAACAACAATTAGACACCACTACGTCACCACAACATATCTACAATACAACACATTATTACACCACTACATATCTACAATACAACCATATAACCATACAATAACAACAATTATTACACCAACACATCCAACCAAACACATTATTACACCCCACCACCAATAAACATTCTACAATACAACACATTATTTCACCCCACAATCTACCAAACATTATTACATACAACAATCAATAATACACACTATAACAATATCTACATGATACATACCATCAAATTATTACACACCTACTCATACCACATACATTCCTACAATACAAATAATCAATAAACACAAAACTATAAAAACACATATGAATCAATGCAGTAACAAAAAAGTGTTAAACAAATCAAGATATATGTTATATTTGAGATTCTTCAAATAGCCACCCTTTGCCTTGATGACAGCTTTGCGCACTCTTGGCATTCTCTCAACCAGCTTCACCTGGAATGCTTTTCCAACAGTCTTGAAGAAGTTCCCACATATGCTGAGCACTTGTTGGCTGCTTTTCCTTCACTCTTCGGTCCGACTCATCCCAAACCATCTCAATTGGGTGGAGGTCGGGTGATTGTGGAGGCCAGGTCATCTGATGCAGCACTCCATCACTCTCCTTCTTGGTAAAATAGCCCTTACACAGCCTGGAGGTGTACTGATGGAGGTCCTGTTGAAAAACAAATGATAGTCCCACTAAGCGCAAACCAGATGGGATGGCGTATCGCTATAGAATGCTGTGGTAGCCATGCTGGTTAAGTGTGCCTTGAATTCTAAATAAATCACAGACAGTGTCACCAGCAAAGCACCCACACACCGTAACACTTCATCCTCCATGCTTCACGGTGGGAAATACACATGCGGAGATCATTCGTTGACCCACACCGCGTCTCACAAAGACACGGCGGTTTGAACCAAAAATCTCCAATTTGGACTCCAGACCAAAGGACACATTTCCACCGGTCTAATGTCTCTTCTTCTTATTGGTATCCTTTAGTAGTGGTTTCTTTGCAGCAAATCTACCATGACGGCCTGATTCACACAGTCCCCTCTGAACAGTTGATGTTGAGATGTGTCTGTTACTTGAACTCTGTGAAGCATTTATTTGGGCTGCAATTTCTGAGGCTGGTAACTCTAATGAACTTATCCTCTGCATCAGAGGTAACTCTGGGTCTTCCATTCCTGTGGCGGTCGTCATGAGAGTCAGTTTCATCATAGCGCTGGGGAATTCCTGATTCTACCTGGATTATGTTGGAGAGGCTTCCATTAAAGAACACCCTCTGTTTTTTGTTAGACAGATAACTCTCGATCCACGATGTAGCAGGGGATGTAAAGCCATAACATACGTTTTTCCAGCAGCAGATTATGATCGATAATGTCAAAAGCCGCACTGAAGTCTAAAAAAACAGCCCCCACAAGGCCTCCCGAGTGGCGTAGCGGTCTAAGGCACTGCATCGCAGAGTTGCGGCATCACTACAGCCTGGGGTTCGATCCCAGGCGGTGTCACAACCGGCCGTGACCGGGAGTCCCATAGGGCGGCGCACAATTGGCCCAGCGTCATCTGGGTTAGGGGAGGGTTTGGCCGGGGGGGGGGGGGGCTTTACTTGGCTCATCGCGCTCTAGCGACTCCTTGTGGCGGGCCGGGTGCCTGCAGTCTGACTTCGGTAGTCAGTTGAACAGCGTTTCCTCCGACACATTGTTGCAGCTGGCTTCCGGGTTATGCGAGCGGGTGTTAAGAAGCGTGGCTTGCCGGGTCATGTTTCGGAGGATGCATGACTTGACCTTCGCCTCTCCCGAGTCCGTTAGGGAGTTGCAGCGATGAGACAAGATCGTGTGAGTGTGTGTGTGAGTGTTTGTGTGTGTGGTGTCTAGGCTATAGATGTACCAACCTGCAGGCGACCAGCATTCAGCTCCAGTACAAGGTAGTCTGTATGGCCAGCAGCGAGGAAAAGAAGGCCGTGGGGGCTGGAGGTAAGGAAGCGGACACGCAGGGAGTTATGGTTCGACGACTCCACCGCCTTGAGCTGCACATAGCCATCACCGTAAACCGAGGCTAGAGAGAGAGAGAGAGAGAGAGAGAGAGAGAGAGAGAGAGAGAGAGAGAGAGAGAGAGAGAGAGAGAAATGTGTGCACATTGCACTGAACATTTGAAAAGACAGTATCTTGAGCTGTGATTGCATCATCATTCTCAGATCAAATTGGACTACAGTACAGTACATCTATTTTTGATATAGATCTTGAATAGGAAAGAAGAGGACAAAGAACAAGATGAGCAGGAGACTGTAGGAAATATGTGACATTTAGAAAAACTCCTTTTTTGTTTGCCTCAGGATATCGTTACTATCATTACAGTAGTCATTATACAGTCAGGTTCTGATATACTAGCACGGGACTGCCCAACCCTGTTCCTGGAGAGCTACCGTCCTGTAGGTTTTAACTCCAACCCTGTTCCTGGAGAGCTACCGTCCTGTAGGTTTTTGCTCGCTATTGGGCGATTAGCATGTAGGCTATTTGGTGCGCGTACAGTTAGGCCCTAAAGCTTAGGCTTACGCACTAATGACAGATTAGCCTCAAATAATTAAAGAAAACCTCAATATTTATACATTTAACCATGAATTATACATTTATGGATTTTTTAAAGGTACTGTTGTCTCTTTATTCAACCCGCCCCCGACACCCACCCGCCCTTCATCCACAAAATATTTAATGACCCCAAAAAGAAGAGACAGAGAGAGAGAGAGAGAGAGAGAGAGAGAGAGAGAGAGAGAGAGAGAGAGAGAGAGAGAGAGAGATAAAATGACAGAGAGAGAGAGAGAATAGACAGAGAGAGAAGTGAGAGGATGAGTCAGCTGTTCTGTTCTGTTCCTTCCACTTTACATACCCCTGTAATCTACCCTAATGTGTCCTGTCTACCAACTACCCGGATCTTAATGCTAGTCCAAGATCTCACGCTCAGAGGGTTCAACATACACTCACCTTTACACTCAGTCACCTCAATAAATAAGAAGTACCTGGGCTAAAGGTAACACATATCAATGAATGGAAGTATGGAGGTAGTTTTGTGCCAACAATATGTTAAATATGTGTCCAAAAATATATATATATATTTCCAGAGCTGTCTTAGATCTACTAGATATAGGACAGACACTTCAAAACCTTATTCCTTATTATTTATTTTTTGACTGTCGTTTTTGCCATTTATGGATGTGTTATTCAATGGAACTTGTTTGACCCGATATGTTCTCCAAGCTTGATTAGGCAACTGCTAAACATATGTTGTTAATGCACTTCCATTGTTCCTAAATGTGTCAACTCACAGCTTGTGTACTTGGTCAAACTCACTGCTGTCCAAATAATTGATTAATTAATTCATCCATTACAACACTGCTGTGTAGCACAGTGTCATATTGAACACAGCAATTAGCCCATTAGACTAGCAGGCCATGTAAATGAGGCTGTGACCTTGGACAACCTCTTCACAGGGGTGTTAGTTAGATCAATGGTCAACAGTTAAACCATTAAATTATTGATGAAACTGGTCAATCATTTCTGAGTCGTTTCTCAAAGGGTGGGTATATAGCTGCTATTGCAGGCTGGATTTGTGGCTTTTCTATTCATCTCTGCTAACGCATGGGGTCAAACATACAGTATTTATAGCAAATCCCGACAGCACGGCAATACAGTACCCCCAATCTGCAGTGTGGCGCTCCGGATCTAGTGAAGAGCGAATGTGGCCCTCCGGACCTAGTGAAGACCGAATGTGGCCCTCCGTACCTAGTGAAGAGCGAATGTGGCCCTCCGGACCTAGTGAAGACCGAATGTGGCCTTACGTACCTAGTGAAGACCGAATGTGGCCCTCCGTACCTAGTGAAGACCAAATGTGGCCCTCCGGACCTAGTGAAGACCGAATGTGGCCCTCCGGACCTAGTGAAGAGCGAATGTGGCCCTCCGTACCTAGTGAAGACCGAATGTGGCCCTCCGGGTCCGGCTGGGGCTAAATGTGTTTGACACCACTGATATAGTAACAACAACAGTAAAAGGACAAACACACCTCCAGCCCAGCTAGACCTGTGATCATTATCCCTCCCACCCCACGTCGGATTCTGCCTCGGAGAACACATTTATTAACCTTATTCTGTTTTTCACAGTCATTTGATTGGTAACCCACGACATAAGGGCAGCGTTGGCTGGAAACTGGACTCAGCGAGTTAGATGACTGTTTGCCTTCTATTTAGAGGGTTGTGGATGTGCACTCAATTGCATTTCAGCATTGCACAGACTGTCATCATCCAAGTGACTTTACTTTATATGGGTATGGGACTTAGCGAATGCTTTTTTTCCAAAGCTAAGTCACATTTACATACTGTAGCTTGGAACAAGAAAGTGGGGCTCTTCAATCAAACCTGGGAATGTTTAGAAACATTGCATTCATCTAATGACTTTGTTTACACAACTATACTGCCCACTAATGGGTCAAAACCAAGAGCAAAAGTGTTTTGTAAGCTACTCTCATAGGATTGTGTGTACTCCAGCACCATATACTGTATTTTAAAAGCTATGTGTTTCATGTACCTGTATGGCTCTGGTGTACTCTTGAACTTCCATCATCACAGCTCCTCCTGAAACCTATAGAGTCTTGTCATGGGATCAGGACTGAGTCTAATAGTGTGGTGAATGCTCTGGGATCAGGACTGAGCCTAATAGTGTGGTGAATGCTCTGGGATCAGGACTGAGCCTAATAGTGTGGTGAATGCTCTGGGATCAGGACTGAGCCTAATAGTGTGGTGAACGCTCTGGGATCAGGACTGAGCCTAATAGTGTGGTGAATGCTCTGGGATGAGGACTGAGCCTAATAGTGTGGTGAATGCTCTGGGATCAGGACTGAGCCTAATAGTGTGGTGAATGCTCTGGGATCAGGACTGAGCTTAATAGTGTGGTGAACGCTCTGGGATCAGGACTGAGCCTAATAGTGTGGTGAATGCTCTGGGATGAGGACTGAGCCTAATAGTGTGGTGAATGCTCTGGGATCAGGACTGAGCCTAATAGTGTGGTGAATGCTCTGGGATCAGGACTGAGCCTAATAGTGTGGTGAATGCTCTGGGATCAGGACTGAGCCTAATAGTGTGGTGAATGCTCTGGGATCACGACTGAGCCTAATAGTCTGGTGAATGCGCTGGGATCAGGACTGAGCCTAATAGTGTGGTGAATGTTCTGGGATCAGGACTGAGCCTAATAGTGTGGTGAATGCTCTGGGATCAGGACTGAGCCTAATAGTGTGGTGAATGCTCTGGGATCAGGACTGAGCCTAATAGTGTGGCGAATGCGCTGGGATCAGGACTGAGCCTAATAGTGTGGTGAATGCTCTGCGTTTCAGGCTGCGAAAATAGAATAACTATTCCAGTGAAAGAGGTCTGTGGTTGGTTCTGAAGAACAGAAATGCATACAAGTAGCCTAAAAATGCCTAAAGAGATTGTCTCTTGGACCAGACACTGTGTGAAATAGCCTGGGGTCGAGGTTACGAAAGAGCCTGGGGTCTAGGTTATGAAAGAGTTGACACTACTAGTTATTTCTTCTTCCCAAATTGTTGAACCTGAAAACCATGTTTTAGCTAAAAGCTAAGAGGGATGTCACAGAGCATCTCATCAGGAACAGAAGCCAGCAGCCCAACACCCTCTAATACAAGGGTTTTTAGAGGTAATTTGAGGCCAAAAGAGCCTGTGTTTGTTCCATAGTTCCTATTCATGTTCATTTTTACCTGATCTAATGACTATCGCAGTCACTATCATGCATGTTAGTCCAGCCGTATAGAGATAGTTCACCCACATTACAAAATTACATTTTGGTTTCCTTATCCAATAAGCAGCAGTCAATGGACAAGTTATGACAGCAATCCATCCTTTGATTTTGTTTACCTGGCCACTTTTAGCATTTGTGGCACAAATCCAATGCAAGTCAGTATTTTAGCATTTTCGCGCTTCATGTCCAACCATCACTCTACGTCTGGGAAACTGGCCCTAACTGTCTGATATACAAACAAACACTTGACTCCTTGAAGACATGAGTCCATCTAAAGACAGAAGTCCATCTACAGACGATCATGGAATGTTCATTTCTGGGGTTGTTTTTCCATTTCCATTTTGTACACATACGATTGACAGGGGATATGATCTAACTGGAACGATCTCTTCTGAACATGATGAGCCAGGCTAGATCTGAAAAGTAAACCCCTGTATTATTTTATATATATATATTTTTTTTTACAAAGGACCATTATGCGCCTAAATGATGCTGATGATTTCTGACTCATGATAATGTGTTCATTCATCACAATTATGCCCCAGATCCCATCTGTCATTAAACTGTAAATAAAGACATCATTATATAGATGATTCCCATTCCATTTACTAAATCAATTACACACAGCATAATGAATGTTTGCTTTAATAGCTTTTACATATTAAGGGATATTAGGGTGTGTGTAATCATCGGAAATGAATGAATGATGTCACTAATTACTTTTCGGGACCTTTATTCCAATTAGACCAGGGTGTATATCCCAAAGGGAACCTTGCACTCCATGTAGTAGCCTACACCACTTTAGATGAGGACCCATAGAACCCTAGTCAATAGCAGTGGGTATACAGAGAATCGGTTACCATTGGGGATGCAGACCTCCTGTCTATCTGTCCTATTTCTCTAGGGTTCATTTCATTTCCAGTAATGTGATTTCTCATGTCTTTAGAGACTAGAGGATTACTTCAAAAGTTCAGATTCAGTCTGCAGTGACGGCTTGACGTCGAAACGTCAGTCACCTGTTCACATCCTGTACAGTGGATTAAAGTGAGCTAAAATAAATAAATCTCTGCTTTTTTTTGTGGAGTGCTCCAACTCCTTTCTACCTCAAATTAGTCCTTTTGGATGTTTTTCTTAGTAAGCCCTTCCCATGATTTTTGTCATTGTTGAGCAACCCTCCGTTCCTTTGTTTGTTGAAGCGCGAAGGCCCACCTGAACTCAGTCTGCAGTGTATTGATGTGAAGGCCCACCTGAACTCAGTCTGCAGTGTATTGAAGTGAAGGCCCACCTGAACTCAGTCTGCAGTGTATTGATGTGAAGACCCACCTGAACTCAGTCCGCAGTGTATTGATGTGAAGGCCCACCTGAACTCAGTCTGCAGTGTGTTGATGTGAAGGCCCACCTGAACTCAGTCTGCAGTGTATTGATGTGAAGGCCCACCTGAACTCAGTCTGCAGTGTATTGATGTGAAGGCCCACCTGAACTCAGTCTGCTGTGTATTGATGTGAAGGCCCACCTGAACTCAGTCTGCAGTGTATTGATGTGAAGGCCCACCTGAACTCAGTCTGCAGTGTATTGATGTGAAGGCCCACCTGAACTCAGTCTGCATTGTATTGATGTGAAGGCCCACCTGAACTCAGTCTGCAGTGTATTGATGTGAAGGCCCACCTGAACTCAGTCTGCAGTGTATTGATGTGAAGGCCCACTTGAACTCAGTCTGCAGTGTATTGATGTGAAGGCCCACCTGAACTCAGTCTGCAGTGTATTGATGTGAAGGCCCACCTGAACTCAGTCTGCAGTGTATTGATGTGAAGGCCCACCTGAACTCAGTCTGCAGTGTATTGATGTGAAGGCCCACCTGAACTCAGTCCGCAGTGTATTGATGTGAAGGCCCACCTGAACTCAGTCTGCAGTGTATTGATGTGAAGGCCCACCTGAACTCAGTCTGCAGTGTATTGATGTGAAGGCCCACTTGAACTCAGTCTGCTGTGTATTGATGTGAAGGCCCACTTGAACTCAGTCTGCAGTGTATTGATGTGAAGGCCCACCTGAACTCAGTCTGCAGTGTATTGATGTGAAGTCCCACTTGAACTCAGTCTGCAGTGTATTGATGTGAAGGCCCACCTGAACTCAGTCTGCAGTGTATTGATGTGAAGGCCCACCTGAACTCAGTCTGCAGTGTGTTGATGTGAAGGCCCACCTGAACTCAGTCTGCAGTGTGTTGATGTGAAGGCCCACCTGAACTCAGTCTGCAGTGTGTTGATGTGAAGGCCCACCTGAACTCAGTCTGCAGTGTATTGATGTGAAGGCCCACCTGAACTCAGTCTGCAGTGTATTGATGTGAAGGCCCACCTGAACTCAGTCTGCAGTGTATTGATGTGAAGGCCCACCTGAACTCAGTCTGCTGTGTATTGATGTGAAGGCCCACTTGAACTCAGTCTGCTGTGTATTGAGGTGAAGGCCCACTTGAACTCAGTCTGCAGTGTATTGATGTGAAGGCCCACCTGAACTCAGTCTGCAGTGTATTGATGTGAAGTCCCACTTGAACTCAGTCTGCAGTGTATTGATGTGAAGGCCCACCTGAACTCAGTCTGCAGTGTATTGATGTGAAGGCCCACCTGAACTCAGTCTGCAGTGTGTTGATGTGAAGGCCCACCTGAACTCAGTCTGCAGTGTGTTGATGTGAAGGCCCACCTGAACTCAGTCTGCAGTGTGTTGATGTGAAGGCCCACCTGAACTCAGTCTGCAGTGTATTGATGTGAAGGCCCACCTGAACTCAGTCTGCAGTGTATTGATGTGAAGGCCCACCTGAACTCAGTCTGCAGTGTATTGATGTGAAGGCCCACCTGAACTCAGTCTGCTGTGTATTGATGTGAAGGCCCACTCCCCCCCACACACACACACACACACACACACACACACACACACACACACACACACACACACACACACACACACACACACACACACACACACACACACACACACACACACACACACACACACACACACACACACACACACACACACACACACACACACACACACACACACACACACACACACACACACACACACACACACACACACACACACAATTCAAGCTCCTGAGTGGCGCAGTGGTCTAAGGCACTGCATCACAGTGCTAACTGTGCCACTAGAGATCCTGGTTCGAATCCAGGCTCTGTCGCAGCCGGCCGCGACCGGGAGACTCATGGGCGGCGCACAATTGGCCCAGCGTCGTCCAGGGTAGGGGAGGGAATGGCCGGCAGGGATGTAGCTCAGTTGATAGAGCATGGCGTTTGCAACGCCAGGGTTGTGGGTTCGATTCCCACGGGGGGCCAGTATAAAAAAAAAAATGTATTCACTAACTGTAAGTCGCTCTGGATAAGAGCGTCTGCTAAATGACTTAAATGTAAATGTAAATGTAATTCACAATTCTAAAACCAAAGTTGCCCCCTGAGAAAAACTGCTGATGCTGAACCAAATTTCGAAATCGCACCTTGTGTATTCTACTATTCTAACCTGCAACAGTAATTTGAGACCCCAACTGAGTATTATTATTATAATTGTTTTACCCGAGGTGCCGCCAGTTGCCCCATCCCTGAGTTAGAATAACGTGAAAAATCCAAATAAAATCAAAACTCGTCTGTAAGCTCGGAACCATTGTCCTATAGGCTAAGCAGTGAAGGCAGTTATTTCCCCGATACAAAGGGAGAAACCCGTGTGCGTAATAACGCTTGCTAAGACCCCAATTAATGAATTACAGTATCAAAAGCATAGACACACAAAAAAACACAAACATACAACAGGCTACAGAATAGATAGGAATCAATCTCGCCTGCGAGAAGTCCAAACTTTCAGAGCTCTTACCTCCCAGTGCCAGTTCGCTTAAAAACGACCACAACAGCGCGCAAAACCACAGCTTCTTGGTGTTTCTTATAGGGAATTCCATGTTTTCCATTCAATAATATTCTCGAAGGTGTAGTCCGGCCGTTTACATATTTACAGATTGGTTGGTCTTGAGATTTTGGTCACGTATTATTCGACCACTTCACTCAATCATTCAGAAGTGAACCTACTCTCTCCACTTGTGTGTGTGAGAGAGAGAGCAAGCGTAGTCACTCTGAACATCATATAGCTCCGCCCGCAGTCACTTCGAGCATCATATAGCTCCGCCTTCTGTGTGAGTGCCCCCTCCTTACACCATCCTGCAAGATGATTTAGCAGTGAACACTGGGCGACTTTGAAAAATGAAACAAATATTTTTGATTAGCTAGCCTATGAAAGATTGGTCCGCGCTATCCAAGATCCTTGGGACGTCCCTACCCCATTGAAGTTGAAATGGTTAAGGTAAGGGTTAAGGTTAGGTAAGGGTTATGGTTATTTGGGTTAGGGTAGGGCGCTGGATTGCACTGACCATTAAAGATTAGGGCTAACTCATCTGAACCTATTCTATTCCTATTTGTCATGTACATTTTAGCCATTTAGCAGATGCTCTTATCCAGAGCAACTTACAAGACCAATTAGGGTTAGGTGCCTTGCTCAAGGGCACAAACAGATTTTTCACCTAATCGGCTCTGGGATTTGAACCAGCGACCTTTCAGTTACTGGCCAAAATGCTCTTAACCGCTAGGCTACCTGTTGCACTACACTAACCATGACTCCATCACACTACACATCTATAACCATGACTCCATCACACTACACATCTACAACCATGACTCCATCACACTACACATCTATAACCATGACTCCATCACACTACACATCTATAACCATGACTCCATCACACTACACATCTATAACCATGACTCCATCACACTACACATCTATAACCATGACTCCATCACACTACACCTCTATAACCATGACTCCATCACACTACACATCTATAACCATGAATCCATCACACTACACCACTATAACCATGACTCCATCACACTACACCTCTATAACCATGACTCCATCACACTACACCTCTATAACCATGACTCCATCACACTACACATCTATAACCATGACTCCATCACACTACACATCTATAACTGTCATGAACCCTGCATCCTGAGTCGGTTTCTGCCTGTGTTGCCATTTTTCTGCTCGGAATCTCCAGTTTCCTGAGGGTTCGTGAACGCTCCCGGCCTGGTTGCCGGGCGATGTTGCTAGGCGGGAGATCTCCCGATTAACCGCACCTGCATCTCATCAGCGGTCTGCACACCTGGTTCTGATCATCACCCTTCTTAAGCCCCTGACCTGACATCCATTCCCTGCCGGATCGTTAGCCATGAACAGTATGTTTGTCAGTGTATCAGCCTTGGAGTTTCTAGCGTTAGTTTTGTTGTTTTGCACCTTGTTGGCTTGCCGTGTACTTACCTCCGTTTTGTTTCTATCTGCAGTCAATCTCCCGGAACCTTCACCCAACCCCTGCCTGGTTGTCGGCGGCTGCCGAGCCATTCTTGGATCTGCCACTGCACCTCCACCAACTCATCTCCGCCGCCCGCTCTGTCCCCTGGATTATTCTACATCGTTTTTTGAATCTGTTAAATAAATACTCACCTTCGTTTCTACTCACCTTGTCCTGGTCTGCTTCTGGGTTCTGGCTTAGTAAACCGTGACAGAACGATCCAGCCAGAAATGAACCCAGCGGACCTGGACTCTGTTCGCCATGCCATTACCCATCAGGAGAAGATGTTGGGACAACATAGCACGGCACTACAGGAGATAGCATTGTCCGTTCGGAACTTTTCTACCAGTCTGACGAAGATCCAGGCTCAGCTCAGGTTGCCGGTGGAGAATCCACGACCGGTTTCACCCATCTCGCCTGCCGCTTCTGGAGCTGTGCCCTTCCGTGAGCCCAAGGTTCCGACGCCTGATAAATATGAGGGGGAGTTGGGAAGATGCCGTTCTTTCCTTATGCAGTGTGGATTAGTGTTCGATCTACAGCCCCACTCTTATGCCACAGACAAGGCTAGGATAGCCTTTGTCATTGAGTTGCTGCGTGGTCGAGCTCTGGAGTGGGCTTCAGCCGTTTTGGAACGACAGGACACCTGCATGGCTTCATACCAGGAGTTCACGGCCGAGATGAGGAAGCTATTTGACCATCCCGTCCAAGGTATGGACGCAGCTAGGCGCCTGTTTTCGCTTCGCCAAGGAACTCGCAGCGTTGCCGACTTCGTGATCGAGTTCAGGACTTTGGCTGTGGAGAGTGGGTGGAATGAGGAGTCTCTACAAGCGGCCTTTTACCAGGGGCTGTCGGAGCAGCTCAACGACCTTTCGGGGTCGCTGGTTCTAATCCCCGAGCCGACTAGGTGAAAAATCTGTCGATGTGCCCTTAAGCAAGGCACTTAACTCTAATTGCTCATGTAAGTCGCTCTGGATAAGAGCGTCTGCTAAATGACTAAAATGTAATGTAATGTAAATGTATAATGCATTTAGCTGCTATGACAATCACAAGATAGTCTACAGATACGGACGTCAAACGTTCAGCCTGCTGCACAGACACTATGGAGGCTCCAGTCTAGAGCGCCCGGTTACATTTAGTTTGAGAGGATTTTAAAACTCTAAATGGTTAAATGAGTGAGAAGTAGATGTCATTGTTGCAATAGTTTGTGAGTGGGAAAAACATTAAGAACACCTGCTCTTTCCATGAGATAGACTGACCAGGTGAATCCAGGTGAAAGCTATGATCCCTTATTGATGTCACTAACTCCACTTAAATTCGTGTAGATTATTTGCATATGAATGGAGTGGAAATTAGGGGGGGGGGCATCAACATCCACCAACATCCACCATTCCAAAATATAGATATAAGCCTTCTACAAGTTCTCATCTAACCAACCATGTATAAACAGCGTTACACCCCAAACGTTTTCCCCTCTTCTATTGTTTTCCCCCTCTTCTATTGATTTCAGCGTGATATCTATGGAAGTGATTAACAAAAAAAATTGTTGCATTACATTTACCGCGTTGGTGGCCCACTTGAATCAAAATGCAACACTTCAAAATGTAGCTAACTGTCTTCTACAAATTGTCCTCTAACCAGTGATGTACACATTATTCCCAGATTCCGTGTGTTTTATGAGCTGTGTTAGTTTCAACAGGACGTGCATCTTTCCCTCTCGCATAATTGATTTCAGCATGATATTGATACGAGTTATTGACAAATAAGTGTTGCGTTTCTCTTTCCGTTTTGGCGACCCCCAAATAAAAACGCATTACATTTACATTTACGTCATTTAGCAGACGCTCTTATCCAGAGCGACTTACAAATTGGTGCATTCACCTTATAGCCAGTGGGAAAACCACTTTACAAAGTATTTTTTTTTGTATTTTTGTTTTTAAAAATTTTTGGGGGGGTGGTGGGTTGGGGTAAGGGAGGGGTAGAAGGATTACTTTATCCTATCCCAGGTATTCCTTAAAGAGGTGGGGTTTCAAATGTCTCCGGAAGGTGGTGAGTGACTCCGCTGTCCTGGCGTCGTGAGGGAGCTTGTTCCACCATTGGGGTGCCAGAGCAGCGAACAGTTTTGACTGGGCTGAGCAGGAACTATGCTTCCGCAGAGGAAGGGGAGCCAGCAGGCCAGAGGTGGATGAACGCAATGCCCTCGTTTGGGTGTAGGGACTGATCAGAGCCTGAAGGTACGGAGGTGCCGTTCCCCTCACAGCTCCATAGGCAAGCACCATGGTCTTGTAACAGATGCGAGCTTCAACTGGAAGCCAGTGGAGTGTGCGGAGGAGGGGGGTGACGTGAGAGAACTTGGGAAGGTTGAACACCAGACGGGCTGCGGCATTCTGGATGAGTTGTAGGGGTTTAATGGCACAGGCAGGGAGCCCAGCCAACAGTGAGTTGCAGTAATCCAGACGGGAGATGACAAGTGCCTGGATCAGGACCTGTGCCGCTTCCTGTGTAAGGCAGGGTCGTACTCTCAGAATGTTGTAGAGCATGAACCTACAGGATCGGGTCACCGCCTTGATGTTAGCGGAGAACGACAGGGTGTTGTCCAGGGTCACGCCAAGGCTCTTCGCACTCTGGGAGGAGGACACAACGGAGTTGTCAACCGTGATGGCGAGATCATGGAACAGGCAGTCCTTCCCCGGGAGGAAGAGCAGCTCCGTCTTGCCAAGGTTCAGCTTGAGGTGGTGATCCGTCATCCATACTGATATGTCTGCCAGACATGCAGAGATGCGATTCGCCACCTGGTTATCAGAAGGGGGAAAGGAGAAGATTAGTTGTGTGTCGTCAGCGTAGCAATGATAGGAGAGGCCATGTGAGGATATGACAGAGCCAAGTGACTTGGTGTATAGCGAGAATAGGAGAGGGCCTAGAACTGAGCCCTGGGGGACACCAGTGGTGAGAGCACGTGGTGCAGAGACAGCTTCTCGCCACGCCACTTGGTAGGAGCGACCGGTCAGGTAGGACGCAATCCAAGAGTGAGCCGAGCCGGAGATGCCCAGCTCGGAGAGGGTGGAGAGGAGGATCTGATGGTTCACAGTATCAAAGGCAGCAGACAGGTCTAGAAGGACTCACTCCAAAAATGTATCTCACTGTCTTCTGCAAGTTGTTCTCTAACCAGTGATGTAAAAAAAAAAGACAGCGTGTACAACCTTATTTCCCCTTCTAATCAATTGTCAAAACAAGAGGCTTTTTGGTGCTTGTGCAGTTTATAAGGTGCTCATTTAAAAAATAAGAAGTCATATGATTACTATTGTTGCACAGGTACTGTTTGTGTAGATAGATTTGTAAAAACATTTTTCAATATCTAACGAACTGGTTCTGAATATTGGTTATTGGCAATCTGGTTTCCGCTCAGGTTATGGATGTGTCACTGCAACCTTAAAGGTCCTAAATGATGTCACCATTGCCCTTGATTCTAAGCAATGTTGTGCTGCTATTTTTATTAAGCTTTTGATACGGTAGACCATTCCATTCTTGTGGGCCGGCTAAGGAGTATTGGTGTCTCTGAGGGGTCTTTGGCCTGGTTTGCTAACTACCTCTCTCAAAGAGTGCAGTGTATAAAGTCAGAACATCTGCTGTCTCAGCCACTGCCTGTCACCAAGAGAGTACCCCAAGGCTTGATCCTCGGCCCCACGCTCTTCTCAATTTACATCAACAACACAGCTCAGGCAGTAGGAAGCTCTCTCATCCATTTATATGCAGATGATACAGTCTTATACTCAGCTGGCCACTCCCCGGATTTTGTATTAAACGCTCTACAACAAAGCTTTCTTAGTGTCCAACAAGCGTTCTCTGCCCTTAACCTTGTTCTGAACATCTCCAAAACAAAGGAATGCCCCTCTCCCCACCGGTGTGATTACTACCTCTGAGGGTTTAGAGCTTGAGGTAGTCACCTCATACAAGTACTTGGGAGTACGGCTAGACGGTACACTGTCCTTCTCTCAGCACATATCAAAGCTACAGGCTAAGGTTATATCTAGACTTGGTTTCCCCTATCGTAATCGCTCCTCTTTCACCCCAGCTGCCAAACTAACCCTGATTCAGATGACCATCCTACCCATGATAGATTACGGAGACGTAATTTATAGATCGGCAGGTAAGGTTGCTCTCGAGTGGCTAGATGTTCTTTACCATTCAGCCATCAGATTTGCCACCAATGCTCCTTATAGGACACATCACTGCACTCTATATTCCTCTGTAAACTGGTCATCTCTGTATACCCGATGCAAGACCCACTGGTTGATGCTTATTTATAAAACCCTCTTAGGCCTCACTCCCCCCTATCTGAGATACCTACTGCAGCCCTCATCCTCCACATACAACACCCGTTCTGCCAGTCACATTCTGTTAAAGGTCCCCAAAGCACACACATCCCTGGGTCGCTCCTCTTTTCAGTTCGCTGCAGCTAGCGACTGGAACGAGCTGCAAAAAAACACTCAAACTGGACAGTTTTATCTTCATCTCTTCATGCAAAGACTCAATCATGGACACTCTTATTGACAGTTGTGGCTGCTTCGCGTGATGTATTGTTGTCTCTACCTTCTTGCCCTTTGTGCTGTTGTCTGTTGCCCAATAATGTTTGTACCATGTTTTGTGCTGCTACCATGTTGTGCTGCTGCCATGTTGTGTTGCTGCCATGTTGTTGTCATGTGGTGTTGCTACCATGTTGTGTTGTCATGTGGTGTTGCTGCCATGCTGTGTTGTTGTCTTAGGTCTCTCTTTATGTAGTGTTGTGGTGTCTCTCTTTATGTAGTGTTGTCAACGGTTTCCGATGATCCTAACCCTCTAAATGCACAGGGCAAGAACAAGTACAGTTGAAGTCGGAAGTTTACATACACTTAGGTTGGAAAAATTAAAACTCGTTTTTCAACCACTCCACAAATTTCTTGTTAATAAACTATAGTTTTGGCAAGTCGGTTAGGACATCTACTTTGTGCATGACACGAGTAATTTTTCCAACAATTGTTTACAGACAGATTATTTCACTTATAATTCACTGTATCACAATTCCAGTGGGTCAGAAGTTTACATACACTAAGTTGACTGTGCCTTTAAACAGCTTGGAAAATTCCAGAAAATGATGTCATGGCTTTAGAAGCTTCTGATAGGTTAATTGAAATCATTTGAGTCAATTGGAGGTGTACCTGTGGATGTATTTCAAGGCCTACCTTCAAAATCAGTGCATCTTTGCTTGACATCATGGGAAAATCAATAGAAATCAGCCAAGACCTCAGAAAAAAGATTGTAGACCTCCACAAGTCTGGTTCATCCTTGGGAGCAATTTCCAAACGACTGAAGGTACCACGTTCATCTGTACAAACAATAGTACGCAAGTATAAACACCATGGGACCACGCAGCCGTCATACCGCTCAGGAAGGAGACGCGTTCTGACTCCTAGAGATGAACGTACTTTGGTTCGAAAAGTGCAAATCTATCCCAGAACAACAGCAAAGGACCTTGTGAAGATGCTGGAGGAAACAGGTACAGAAGTATCTATATCCACAGTAAAACAAGTCCTATATCGACATAACCTGAAAGGCCGCTCAGCAAGGAAGAAGCCACTGCTCCAAAACCGCCATAAAAAAGCCAGACTACGGTTTGGGGACGAAGATCATACTTTTTTTGAGAAATGTCCTCTGGTCTGATGAAACAAAAATAGAACTGTTTGGCCATAATGACCATCGTTATGTTTGGAGGAAAAAGGGGGACTTGCAAGCCGAAGAACACCATCCCAACTGTGAAGCACGGTGTGGCAGCATCATGCTGTGGGGGTGCTTTGCTGCAGGAGGGACTGGTGCACTTCACAAAATAGATGGCATCATGAGGAAGGAAAATTATGTGGATATATTGAAGCAACATCTCAAGACATCAGTCAGGAAGTTAAAGCTTGGTCGCAAATGGGTCTTCCAAATGGACAATGACCCCAAGCATACTTCCAAAGTTGTGACAAAATGGCTTAAGGACAACAAAGTCAAGGTATTGGAGTGGCCATCGCAAAGCCCTGACCTCAATCCTATAGAACATTTGTGGGCAGAAATGAAAAAGCGTGTGCGAGCAAGGAGGCCTACAAACCTGACTCAGTTACACCAGCTCTGTCAGGAGGAATGGGCCAAAATTCACCCAATTTGTTATGGGAAGCTTGTGGAAGGCTACCTGAAACGTTTGACCCAAGTTAAACAATTTAAAGGCAACGCTACCAAATACTAATTGAGTGTATGTAAACTTCTGACCCACTGGGAATGTGATGAAAGAAATAAAAGCTGAAATAAATCATTCTCTCTACTATTATTCTGATATTTCACATTCTTAAAATAAAGTGGTGATCCTAACTGACCTAAAACAAGGAATTTTTACTAGGATTAAATGTCAGGAATGGTGAAAAACTGAGTTAAAATGTATTTGGCTAAGGTGTATGTAAACTTCCGACTTCAACTGTAGGTGAACGCCAAAACCAGGAAATATGATTTCTTATTAGATTTTTGTTTTGCATTGATTGATTGATTTTTAGAGAAAAACAGTTGTCTTTCTTCCTGTTCAGTTCTACAGGGCTAGTCTGTTAGTCTATTTTGGGTGTGCGTCAACCCCCAACTCGTAATTTTTTCAATTCTACAGAGTGCCACCTTTCTGCTTGCTCCACGGGACCAACGACATCATAGTTCCGGTGGCATCTTCCCAGAGGTTCTCTGAGCTGCTCACCTCCCTGTCAATCAAGGTGTCCCTGTACCTCATGCCTAAAATGGACCACACAGAGATAGTCACCGATGTCATGGCGACAGACAGGCACTTCTACAACACAGTGTACAGCTGCATCAAACAGGAGTACAGCAAGTTCATAGGCCAGGTCTGTGACTGCTGAACGTCTTCTAGAGATGTCTTGCAGACTTCTACACAACAAGGAAACAACTAACACAAATAATAATAATAATACAATTCTGCAGGTTTACATCTTTTTCAGTTCATTATTATCATGATACCTCGAACTTACAGGATTTAGCCTTTTCAACAAACAAAAAAATTGGTTTAGCTCTCTGTTTTAATCTCAATAATGATTCATTTGCTTCATCTGGTGTTGTGTGTTTCATAATGGTTCCATGAGTGTAAACAGACCGAATGGTATTTTAATATAATAATTGCTGGATCTGATGGAATGAACGATACAATTCTGATGTTGTGGTCAAAAGATTAGTGGTAGAAAGATCAGAATTGGTCTCCCTGTCTAAACAAAGCCCATGTGTGTCAGACCTCAAATGCACATGCCAAATACTCGTGGCAGATTTAGCTCTGAGTTTTCACCTTTGGGACTATCCCATTGGTTCCATTGTATCAGGCAAACTAAATCAAGTATCTGAAAGTATTGGACATGTATTGGACCAAGTCTGGTGTGTGTAGAACACCGTATGAGAACATTGTGGTCCTCTGTAGCTCAATTGGTAGAGCATGGCCCTTGTAATGCCAGGTTAGTGGGTTCGAACCCCAGGACCACCCATACGTAAAAATGTATGCACACATGACTGTAAGTAGCTTTGGATAAAAGTGTCTGCTAAATGGCATATTATTATTATATTATAACATTGGTTTAACTAAAATGCTGTATGAGCTATCCCAAGGGCACAATATATTCACTGTGCTTCTGCCTCTCCATTGCTTGTTCTTTGGGGGAGTTAGGCAGGGTATCTGTAAAGCACTTTGCGATACCTGCTGATGTAAAAAGAGCTTTATTATAAAAATACATGTGATTGATTGATTCATCCAGCAACAGCCTTTGTAGAAATATTGTTACTGTAAACCTACATAGTGCTCTACTTTTGACCAGAGCACTATGGACAGTGCACTATATACAGTGGGGGAAAAAAGTATTTAGTCAGCCACCAATTGTGCAAGTTCTCCCACTAAAAATCCCAGAACCACACGGGGGGACCTAGTGAATGACCTGCAGAGAGCTGGGACCAAAGTAACAAAGCCTACCATCAGTAACACACTACGCCGCCAGGGACTCAAATCCTGCAGTGCCAGACGTGTCCCCCTGCTTAAGCCAGTACATGTCCAGGCCCGTCTGAAGTTTGCTAGAGTGCATTTGGATGATCCAGAAGAGGATTGGGAGAATGTCATATAGTCAGATGAAACCAAAATATAACTTTTTGGTAAAAACTAAACTCGTCGTGTTTGGAGGACAAAGAATGCTGAGTTGCATCCAAAGAACACCATACCTACTGTGAAGCATGGGGGTGGAAACATCATGCTTTGGGGATGTTTTTCTGCAAAGGGACCAGGACGACTGATCCGTGTAAAGGAAAGAATGAATGGGGCCATGTATCGTGAGATTTTGAGTGAAAACCTCCTTCCATCAGCAAGGGCATTGAATATGAAACGTGGCTGGGTCTTTCAGCATGACAATGATCCCAAACACACCGCCCGGGCAACGAAGGAGTGGCTTCGTAAGAAGCATTTCAAGGTCCTGGAGTGGCCTAGCCAGTCTCCAGATCTCAACCCCATAGAAAATCTTTGGAGGGAGTTGAAAGTCCGTGTTGCCCAGTGACAGCCCCAAAACATCACTGCTCTAGAGGAGATCTGCATGGAGGAATGGGCCAAAATACCAGCAACAGTGTGTGAAAACCTTGTGAAGACTTACAGAAAACGTTTGACCTGTGTCATTGCCAACAAAGGGTATACAACAAAGTATTGAGAAACTTTTGTTATTGACCAAATACTTATTTTCCACCATAATCTGCAAATAAATTCATTATAAATCCTACAATGTGATTTTCTGGATTTAGTTTTTCTCATTTTGACTGTCATAGTTGACGTGTACCTATGATGAAAATTACAGGCCTCTCTCTTCTTTTTAAGTGGGAGAACTTGCACAATTGGTGGCTGACTAAATACTTTTTTCCCCCACTGTAGGGGAAAGGGTACCATTTTGGCAGAGCCAAGCAATGGAGCAGATCTATTGTATATTTTCTACTGATAATCTGTTGCATGCACTAATATGGTCAACCAGGGCACATTATATTTTCTGTTTTATGGTCAACCCAGGGCACATTACATTTTCTGTTTTATGATCAACCCAGAGCACATTACATTTTCTGTTTTATGATCAACCCAAAGCACATTACATTTTTTGTTTTATGGTCAACCCAGAGCACATTACATTTTCTGTTTTATGGTCAACCCAAAGCACATTACATTTTCTGTTTTATGGTCAACCCAAAGCACATTACATTTTCTGTTTATTAAATGTTTGGACAACTACACACTACATCTGATTAAATGTATTCATTACATTACTCTATTTTGCATAATGAATATTGATTGATTTAATAAAAGTCTTAAAACATTGAAATCCATCGAAAAAGGAATTGAAAGCTGTTTCTTTGTTTGTGGGTTTTTTCTGCACATCACGTGTGCTTAATGATGTGTTTAGTTGGCTTTTCATAGTAGAAGAAATTGTGTGCCAATACACACCTACACTGTAGTCACACTGTGTAATAACCATGTAAAAATACAGATCTAGGGCCGATTGGAATTAAGTGGGGTCATTTGATATTGTATGAAAATATATGATGTGTTGTTTTTGTCAATATGGAAAACAGCAGCCTCTGCTGGAGCGGTCCAGTATGTGGATAACCCATATAGCATGTCATTGTATATATAGCCTCCCTACTGTTATTTAATTTGACTTCTGCTCTTTTTTTCTCAACACTTTTTTGTTGTTGTTTTATTTTACTTTTTGTTAATTAAAAATAAATGCACTGTTGGTTAAGGGCTGTAAGTAAGCATTTCACTGTAACGTCTGCACCTGTTGTATTCGGCGCATGTGGCCAATCAATTTTGATTTGATTTGATCTTTACCGGTAAGAAGACAAACAGACAGACCCATTTTAATTGCCCAGATGCACAAAAATTGTCCGACCTTGTTGGTAATATAAAGTTACTGAACCAAATTAACCTAAGGATGAACCACAGACCCTTTGGTATCCTTAAATCAAATAAAAGTTTATTGGTCGCGTACAGAGATTTGTAGATGTTATTGCAGGTGAAGTGAAATGCTTGTGTTTCTAGCTCCAACAGTGCAGTGATACCTAGCTAAATGCTTGTGTTTCTAGCTCCAACAGTACTGTAATACCTAGCTAACTGCTTGTGTTTGTAGCTCCAACAGTGCAGTGATACCTAGCTAAACGCTTGTGTTTCTAGCTCCAACAGTGCAGTGATACCTAGCTAAATGCTTGTGTTTCTAGCTCCAACAGTGCAGTGATACCTAGCTAAATGCTTGTGTTTCTAGCTCCAACAGTGCAGTGATACCTAGCTAAATGCTTGTGTTTCTAGCTCCAACAGTGCAGTGATACCTAGCTAAATGCTTGTGTTTCTAGCTCCAACAGTACAGTGATACCGATCACTGCACCTGTACACAGCCCATCTGAAATTAGCCCACCCAACAACCTCATCCCTATATTGTTATTTAATTTGCTCTTTTGCACCCCAGTATCTCTATTTGCACATAATCTCTTGCACATCTAGCATTCCAGTGTTAATACTATTGTAATTATTCTGCACTATAGCCTATTTATTGCCTTACCTCCATAACTTGCTACATTTGCACACACTGTATATATATTTTCTGTTGTATTTCTGACTTTATGTTTTTTTACCCCATATGTAACTCTGTGTTGTTTTTGTTGCACTACTTTGCTTTGTCTTGGCCAGGTCGCAGTTGTAAATGAGAACCTGTTCTCAACTGGCTTACCTGGTTAAATAAAGGTGAAAAAATTAAAAAATAAAAATTAATACCTAGCTAAATGCTTGTGTTTGTAGCTCCAACAGTGCAGTGATACCTAGCTAACTGCTTGTGTTTGTAGCTCCAACAGTGCAGTGATACCTAGCTAAACGCTTGTGTTTCTAGCTCCAACAGTGCAGTGATACCTAGCTAAATGCTTGTGTTTCTAGCTCCAACAGTGCAGTGATACCTAGCTAAATGCTTGTGTTTCTAGCTCCAACAGCGCAGTGATACCTAGCTAAATGCTTGTGTTTCTAGCTCCAACAGTGCAGTGATACCTAGCTAACTGCTTGTGTAACAGGTCAAAGAATTACAGATTTTTGCAACCGTTCATTTTCTATTTTTTATTTTATTTTGTGAGTTGATTTCACCAAAATATTGTATTGTTCAGCATTTCGTGTAGTCTACAGATATTGGGAGAGTTAGTTGTGTAAGTGCGCCCTCTAGTGTTGGTTTGGTTATATGCGGAGGGATGTCATGCTTTTCTCAGTCTGCATTGTACTCGGCTGGGAAAGGTATGTGTTCACTTCGGCGTGATATAAACTTGATATACCTGTTAAAACTAAAACGTTTCAGTGCACATAGTAACTTGTATGTATATTATATGATGAGTGTACGTACATTTAATCAAGCTGTGTCGTGAATTTAGACATTTTTGAGAGTTGAGAAATTGCTAACTTAGCTAACCTCGTGTTCTGTTTAGCTGTAAGTTAGCAATCATCATTCTATCCTCTTGTGACGAAGCTCACGTTGTTCTTTTTATGTTAGGCGGATTCTGGTCGAGGGTAGAGTTTTGAACATTTTCTCTCTTTGATGTTGAACAGGTATGTATTCCCTATATCAGGTTAAAAATGTGTTCATTTAAAATGTTTTCATGTATTGATTAGTGTTTAATGGCACTGAAAAGCTCAAATGTGAAGGATTACATGTTGCTTCGTGCATATTACTGTATGTATTACCTATTTGAAAGATGGTTTATGTCATGTTGCACAGTATTAATGTAAAGGCCAAAAGCTCAGAGTTTTTGGCAGAGATAACATGAATATGACACATACATAAGATATACACCAGATGCAATGTTTATTTTCCAATGATGTTGTATTTTATTCCTT